TTGACTGAGATGGATGCCTTCCTCAAACCACGATCCAAAGAGTGCAAGACTGAAATCCTGTGCAGTGTCGCGAGATTTAACATTGCTATATCATTGACTTACTTCACTCGAACATGATATGAACAATTTAATCTACCCGCTCTGCATATCATGTAGTTTTTACACTATATAGTTACACTTAACTTTAAACCACGAGTGTTAAAATTGTGTTAAATACACACAAGATGCTTACATAAATCCAAGAGCTGGCCAATCCCTTTTTTCAGTGTAAGACATGCTAATAATAATAACACTAGAACTTACCATTACTCTAATACATCATAAGAAATCAGGCATACAAAATAAACTCAAAATGCTGGGTCGCGCCCTGACAGTCACTAACTGTACCTCTTCAGAGCCCTGGAGGCCCTTGTACCAGCCTAGGCTGTATCTCTATTTTTTTTTTTAAAGGACAACCACCATTTTTCAACAAAAGATGCCGAAATGGCATCACCGGCTTACTGTGACTCAAAGGGATTTGTTGTGCTTGATTTGAGTTGCATCAGCTTTGGTGACATTATAGTTAATAATCCAACAGATTTATTAGAAATAGTGCTTACTGACCCAGTGCTTTACACTGCAATTTAGGCTACAAAGCTGAATAAGTAGAAGTAAACGTGTCAATATGTTCTAGCTTTTAAGTAAAAAATGTGCTGGACAGCTAAGGTGTAAAGTTTGAAATGAACAAAAGACTCAAAAGCAAACTTTAATTTGTCAGAATCAGAATACTTTATTAATCCATCCATCCATTCGCTTCCGCTTATCCTTTTCAGGGTTGCGGGGGGCGCTGGAGCCTATCCCAGCTGTCATAGGGCGAAAGGCGGGGTACACCCTGGACAGATCGCCAGTCTGTCGCAGGGCTAACACATAGGGACAGACAACCATTCACACTCACATTCACTCGCACATTCACACCTAGTGACAATTTGGATTAATCAATTAACCTATCCCCACAAGCTGCATGTCTTTGGACTTTATTAATTAATTAATTAATACTTTATTAATCTCAAAGGAAATTAGGGCTAAAAGCAAAGTCCAAAAAGGAACCAAAAGAAACCCACAATCTTCATAAGAAGCCAGAACAAGAGAAAATTCACCTGGGAAGATACACCGATGCTATATGAAAAAGACTAAGAGGAAGGACAGGACTGTAAATACACACAGACGATACACTGGGGCTTGGAAATAAGACGGAAAGAGACAAAGTTTAAACTAATCAAGACAATCTGACAATCTGGAAATAAAATTCAATACCAGAGAATAAAAGAAAAGATGTTACCAAACTAAAACATGAAACTAAAGACAGACAGTAGATGCAAACAAGAAACCCCAGACTAAACATGACTCAGAGAAACCCTGGGGAGGATAGAATAACAGAATCGAGGGAGAAAACAAAACGTAAAAATATTACAAACCTGAAGTGACTCACAAGACTGACAAAGCCCAAGCAGGAAGTCAAATCCTAAAGAGTGTAATAAAAACCCAACTCAAATAAAGCAACAACAGATGTTAAGCAAAAAGGGACATACTAAGAGTATTAAACAAGAATCCAGACCTCAAAAACACAACCAATCCCAGATCCCAGCTGTTACTGGGTAAACTTTAGGGTGTTTTTTTTTTTTAGTTGAAAAAAGTCAATATTACCCAAAAAATGAGGAAACCTAAGAGATTGCCTGAGGCTCTTCAACTTCTAAGAGTGCATGAACAGTGGCTGGATCGTTCTGTTCTCTAAATATGCTAATATTATTAAACTGTGTGAGCCACGTAAGAGTCAAAAGCTGGCCATGATGCTTTTTGTGTTATTCTTTACATTTTTTTTTTTAAATTTTGGACAACTGAATTTAAGGATTTGGATGAGTTGCACCCTTTTGCAGCTTTCTAGCCTTAAGCTACAGTTTGTGACTGGTACTGGATAAACTACCTCTGAGTTAAGCTGATAAACCAAGGAGGCTAAATCCATTTTTTTCACCTTAACAACGCTTTTGATAAGAAAGGTGTCTCAGAAACTGAATGTTGTGTTTTTGTGTAGTTTTTCAGTAAATTATGCCCCAAAGCAGGGATCCTGACTATCTTTGGTGACTAATTTCCACCGGCATCAGACTGGAGTTTTGCATCAGTCAATACTGACACTAAATCTGCTGAGTGCAGTCATGCTCCTAACATGGCTGATAATGGATGTCAGTGTTAGTGCTTCTGTCTTTTTAAGTTCATCTTGTTGTATTACAGTTTATACTAAGGCCTGGAACCTACTTGTGGGGGTTTGAGCACTACATGCTGAGCACAGAGCCTCAGGAAATTAACACCTGATCTGTGAGCAGAGAGTGCTTTACAGGGGGAAAAAAGGTAAAAGTGATGAGGCCTTGAGACACGGCTGCATATCTATTATGCAAGAGTTCCTAATTTCTTGTGCACACGATGACATTGCAGATATACAGCAGGCCGAGCTGTGCAGCAGACACTCCAGTGATGTTATTGTCCTTTTAAACGTTTACTCAGCTTGAATTTACATACCCTGATCCATTTCTGTCGCAAACCAATGAGGCCTCATCGCATTTCACCGTGGCACTGAAACGAGCAGAAACATTCAGTGGTCCTCCGGTACAACGGCAGCTACAACCAACCTCGGCAGGAAGAATCCTTTCTATCGCATCTGATTCTACACCTTGCATCTCTTGAGATCAGAGAGACTCGGGGGAGTCAAAGGAGGGAGAGATGGAGGGATGGGAGTCAGGGGGAGGAGGGGGACTGAAGACTTGGGAAGATAGTACGGGAGACACGTTTTGCCTCAATGGAAGAGAGAAGAGCACACAGACTGACAGATAGACGGGCTAGAAGGAGAAATGAGACAAGTGGAGAGCTTGGGTGTGTGTCTGTATGTGGGGTGGGGGTGTGGGGGGGAGGTGGAAGAAAGAGTGAGCTAAAAAAGAGAGTAGGAGGTACACTCGGCTCTGAGAGATCGAAGACAAACCGAGCGCGAAGAGGAGGGAAGGTGGTGGGGGGAGATGGAGTGACAAGTGGAGGGGAGGACTGAGGATGAGGAGAGGAAAGGACAGAGAGAAAAGGGAGGAGGACGGGTAAGGGGAGAAGGGCTGAGGGGAGAAATATAGCAGTTGTTCATTAGTGAGGATGTGTTAGGGACTGGAGGACTGAGCACGAGGAGAGACAGTGGAGTGGAGGGGTGAGTTATGGACACTGACTAATGAGAGGAGAGGAGGGAAGGGAGACACCAGGGGAGAGGAAACGAGGGTAGAGGAGGTGGAAAGAGTGTAAATGAGACTGGAGAGGGAGGAAGAAGAGGGAGGGAGGAAGAAGAGGAGCAGGGGAGGGGAGGGGGGGTTAGAAAAGAGCGAAGCGAAACTGATGGGGGAGGGGAAGAATTTGCACGTACGCACACACAGAGTTGAAAACTGCAAGCGACATGAGAGGGAGACACAGGGGAGAGGAAGAGGGTAAGGAGGAGGCTGAAGAGAAGGAAGGAGGGGAAGGGAGAAAGACAGGAAAAGAGTCATTACTGGAAGGTAAAGGGGTGAGGAGGATGTGGAAGAGCAGAAGAGGGGAGGAAATGGAGAGAGGAAGGGGGAGAGGAAGGGAGAGGAAGGAGGAGAAAAAACAGGGAGGGGGCACAGAGAGAAGACAAGAGATGAGGGGGGAGGAGAAGGAGAATTAGGGCAGATATTTAGGAAGGAAGAGGGAGAGGAGGAAGGAAGGAAGGAAGGAAGGAGAGAAAGGGGGTAAAGTAGTGAAGAAGAAACAGGAGCAAAAACAAGGAGATGGAAAAAGAGAGAGAGAGCAGCAGTGAGGAAATAAGGTGAGAAGTGAGAGGATGAAGAGGAGGAGGAAGTGGTGATGCCACAGAGAAAGAAAGAAGAGAGAAAGAGCTGGAGGAGTTTGTAACAGGCTGTTACATGTCAGCAGCAGGCACTGGTGACGGGAGCAGTGGCTTCTGTGCGAGTGTTACTGCGAAGGTTAGTGGGTTTATTCCCAGCATCAGGTAAGAGAGCTCCTGCTAAAGCTAACACTGAAACATCCCCCATTCTGCTCACACACACACTCATCCACCTGTGAACTCACACGCGCACAGGCTCGTGCACACAAACACATCCAGGTCGCAACTCTTTGAACTGTTCTGTTTTAAATAAATAAATAAAAACGAGCACACTGAGGCTATTCATCTGAGTCACTGTCAGTTTATGCACAAAGTAACGCACGCGCCCGAAGACACGTTCGCATACTGACGTACTCGCGCGCGCACACGCACGAACACTCGTTTCAATTGTGCTCCGCTCCTGCCCTTTTCTCCACCAAGCAAGTCTGGACAGCCTGCCTCAGAACAGAGATGCACTGAATCCCTCCGCCGACACACTGGCAAGTAGTCCCTAATTTATGGGATTTTGATAGATAGCGGATTAAGACTCTCTAACACCTATTGTTTTACAAAATGAAATACCTACACGTTTCTCTTCCATTTAAAGGCCATTAACGATGTAATGATCAAGACGTGAATTATCAGGCAGGCATATTTAAAAGGCAAAATATTTTTAGGACAAAGATTTTAAGTATCGCGCACTGACGTGAGCACTCTTAAAAGTCAATTCACACACATGGCACATAAGGTAAAATCCAAAACCAAGACTGAGATAAAGTTAATAGTTAAGGGACTACTTCTTGTCAATCCAAACGGCGCCTAAGCTTGGGAGAGGCGAACGCATCCAAGCGGATGTCCACCTCACTTTTCTCCGGGTGTTGTCCGTCTCCCGGCGCACATACACACTCACGGCTTCCATCTATCCGTGCAGTTCTCCTCATTGTAGTGTGACTGTGCTCATCAATTAGGCGAGAGTTCAGGCTTTTTAGACACACTAATTGCCTTTGAGCGCTTCGGAGGGGACTGCAAGCTGCGGACAGAGGCTCGGAGAAGTTTTGGCTGCGGGGAAGCGGAGAGAAACGAAACACAGGTACAGTGTGACTATTATCTCCACTTCTAACTACTGGCGTTACTAATGTAACGCGAGGGTACTAGCCGCAAGCTAACTAGCTAACGTTAGCATCCCAGCGACCAACTAGGCTAGACTTAAATTGCACTTTGGTGATGAGGAGAGATGTCGTATATATATTTTCTAGTTTCCAGCCTTTTGGAGTGACTTGGACCTTGGAAATTGCTACTATTTTTAGTTTAAGGACCCTAAACATACCGGCAAGTTGGGCAATTATGACATAAAGAGCGAGTGTGTTTTTTTTGTTTTGTTTTTTTTTTTACTCCAGGGCAGCAGCAGACAGTAGCGTTGGTAGTAACAGCAGCGTACGCGTGGGGAAAACAAAAGGACTTCAAAGTGAGACACAGCGTACAGACGACTGTACAATTAAGCTGTTAAAAATATTGATTTTTTTTTAAAGCTAGTAAACGTGACTCAAATTTGAGAAACACCCGGTGCGAGTCCGTCGTCTCTTTTTATTTTCTTTTTAGTGGTGGGATCTTAGGATTTAACATATTATAAAACACAGTCCGCCTATTACAATGTTAACTTTAACATGTAATGTCGTCGTCCCCCCCGCTTTAAGGTCACCCTGTGCTGACTCTTGCGAGCCATGAGCACCTGACTAGTCACTGTAGGAGTACTATTGTTTTCCCTTTTACCACTGTGAGTCAAAAAGTGTTCATCATCAGACTACCCACTTAAAAATTGCGGTGAAGAACCTAAATAGATTTTAGACATATTACCCAAAACGAAACGATCGAATTGCTCGTGGTATTGTTCACTACAGTGCAAAGCATATCTGATGACCCAATATTGTGTTTAAGTGAGGAAAAGTTTAAAGATCTGGCCATATGAGGGAAAAGGATGTAGAAGAGGAAAGCCTGCATGTAATCGCCTAGTTGAGTATTATGTATTACTACGAGTATCCAGTCCCTGTCGAGGTTATCAGTTAATATGTTGTAGTTATAGCTCTCGTTCTTGAAACGGTTGATAAATCTGCCAGTGATTGAGGCTACCGCGATAGAGGCTACCACAACACTCCCCCCACCCCCTTCCACCACGAAACTCGCTGAAAGTGAAGCGGGGCGGTCTCACGCAGCCAGTTCTCTTGTAAATAAGTAAACTTGAGTATATCGACAAAGACGAAGGGATGTGTTGAAGGTGGCGATGTTTCCAGTGAAGCCGGACGGGGGGCAGCCGCTGTAGTTTCCGAGGCCACCGGGAACAGCGATAGACAAAGACCACCAGAGAGCTTCAGACACTTGTATTGTCTGCTCGGAGTTTGGTGTGTATGTTTTTAATCTCGAGGATCGTGAGGGTTGCGACTCGTTTCCCCGCAGAGGCTTGACTGGCTCAGTATGTTGTGCGGTGGTGGTGATGTGTATGCGGGGGTACAGTACTACATCGGTCACCCAACTTCGAGTCCTTGCTTTGTTCTGGCCGCGGTTCAAGTTGACAAGTGAAGTTGCGGGTGAGATGGTGAATGAAAGCACGCGCCTTTTAACGCGCGTTTGCACTGGGACTCGTGCCCGGTGTCGCCAGTCATTGTTTTAGGGGCTCTTATCGTTTGCGCTTGAGGAGGAAGGAGTTTAGATATGCTACTTTCTGCAATATTTCATTGGCCCAGAGATGTAGAGACATCGAGAAGACGACAAATATCATGTAATAGTATAGCAATGGCTGTGGATCACACTTCGTCTTTTAGAGGAGGGTCTTATTTATTTATTTGTTTGTAGATGTTTCTTCTCATCAGCGATTATATTCTTTGTTTACTGATGTTGACGTAGATCCCCACTGAACAGGTTTTACCTTTGCTTTGCCTTTGCTGTTGGAGGGGCTCATGTAATGGATTTCTCTTTATGTGTGATTACTTGCACTGTAGCAACCAGCGCCTTTCTGCACCAGCAGATGGGTGGTGTACTGGTATCAGCCAACAGCAGCCTTGTTGACTGATAGGAAAGTAAAATTTGCATCTCGGTGGATAATATTTACTTGTTGTGTCAAATCAGTTTTTTAAATGTCTATTTGCATCCTTGTAGCAAAAATAAGATGCATAAAAGTTACAAAAAAATAAACAAATATGTAAAATATTGGTACCAGCTATTATCAGCCTAACAAATAAGGGATTGGTATTGATATCAGTATTTTGTGCCAGTATTGAACTAAAATTTGGTTCACCCTTTTTTTTTTTTTTTTTTTTTTTTTTCTGCATAGACACAAAGGTAGGATCACATCTAGTTAATTACTCACTCATCTAATCATTATTTGTTGGATTAAAGAAAGCTACTTTCAGCTTCTTTGTCACAAGGTGTTGACACAGCAGGTAGCTCTGGATGTTTGAGTTGGCAGAGTTTTACAGCGGACTTTCTAAAAGGATTTGTTTTGTAAATGTCTCTAAAAATGTGACTTGTTAAACTTTTAGCTGAGAAATACTTGACTATGTTAACTGCAATCAAACTGATTTGATCAATTGCTTATTATTATTTATCTTTAATATTATTATTATTTATTTGAGCATCATAAAGAAATTGTCAGATTTTGGTCCAGAGCTCAGTGCCGTGTCCTTGATGGCTCTTACAGAGCGACTGCGGTGAGATAACAGATGTTCATTTGGGAAAAAATGGGATGTTGACATGTCACTTGAACTGTAAACAATGGGTAAAATAGGCCTCTGTTCTGTTTGTTTGTGGGTATTGCTCCACCCAGACAAGAAGACATCTTTAATCAGCTGGAGCGACAAAGGAAGACTCCGGTTAATCAGTCTGGCTCTTTTGTTGAAGATGAAGTTGTTCCTGTTGATTTAGTCGGGATTTGCTCTTGATAAGTCAGAACCTGAGCAGAAAACTTGCATTTAGAGATTTAATCGTAAGTAGTTGAGGTCTTGAATGAGTTCTTGTATAGAAAGCTGCTTTTTGGAAAATAAACTCAGCTCCAGGTAGATAATGGGATTCCCTCCAAGGTGGCAACATAAGGGCCCATTTTACTTTACAAGCGTGAGTTGGTTTTTATAGGGTTGCAAGTGGAAACAAATAGCAGCCAGTGCACTAATGAAACAAGGCATAACTCATAGTTTAATAGGAGATTGAATCGCTTGGGGCAGAAATGTTGATAAATGGTGGATTTTTAACTAGTGACATGTTGTGTGTGTGTGTGTGTGTGTGTCTGTGTGTGTGCAGTCATGCCCTCAGTGATGGAGCGCTCGGGGGCTGGGGTCCTGTCCAGGAGCAGAGCCAAAACCGTAACCAACGGGAATAGCCAGCCACACTCTGAGGAGGAGAGCAGCGATGAAGAGCACGCTCACGGTACACACGTACACACTTTTCGTTAGTGTTTGATTTATCAGATATCACGGTAAACGTTCGGAGCATTACAAAGTGTACCTACATCTGATACTTGCAGGCATTTTCTTGCCAGCTGTTCCTGTTGCATGCATTGCATTGCTGCAGTGCTCTCTGTCATCCCCTCTCTTCATCCTTGTCCTCTGCCCACATACGTCTCTCCTTCCTCCATTCTCTCCTTCACCCACTGACTTCCTGTTGATCTTTGAGGAGCCCATTTTAAGATAAGAAATGGCAGTTTTACACAACTAGTTATCCTCTCTGTTACCTTTCTTCCCTCTGTTCCTTCTATCAACCATCCTTCTTCTTTATCATGCTCCTTCTGGCTCCATTCATTTCACCCATCTGCTCATGTTTCTATCATCCCCTTCTCCTCCCTTCCTGTCCTCTGTCCCAGAGGAACCTGTAATCTGTCTCTTCCTCCTTCAGGTTTGCTTCCCTGCATTTCTCACAGTCTCTCTCCACTCCTCGCTTTCCACATTCTCCAGCTTCCTAGGTTCCTGCTAGCTTTACCGCAGCGATAATTACCTGATGTCTGCCACCCATCGATGCTCTACCCGCTTGTCTTCGTCGGGTGGTGAACAATATCAAAATGTTAAATGGCATTTCTGGATTATCTAAGTTATTGTTTTTACTTATTTATTAATGGAAGTTGTACATGGAAGTTTTTCTTTATTTAAATGTTTTCTTCATATACCAGTGTTTTCCCCCACTTGTTCCCCCACTTGTTTTTGTTTTGAACATTAAGACTATATTTAAAAGTTAGATTTAGCCTGTGTGTCTAAAAAATGAAACAAATACAAAAATGCCTGAATGAATTCTTTCTACTGCCCTGAAGACTCTTCTATGCCAAAAAGACACCTGGTTGTATGGAAGTTTATGTGAAAAGAGAAGTTCAGATTCCTCAGTAAACACGTTCTGAATGAATTTATGGTTATAGATGCTAGTTTGAAGTTTTAGTGACGACTGCGTGATGTTAGACAACTTCACCAGGAGGCATCTTTGTGAGATACCTGAAGCACTCTCCAATGACTGAGCTCCTCCTGTAAGGGAGAGCCCAGCCATCCTTTACATAAAGCTTATTTCCACCGTTTGCATCTGCGATCTCATTCTTTTGGTCAATACCCAGAGCTCGTAACCATAGGTAGGAGTAGGGACGTAGATTGGCCAGTAAATCAAGAGGTTTGCATTTATGTTCAGTGGTGTGATCCACTTTGTTTAGTTTTGCAACTTGGAACCTTTTCTGGTGTGTTACACAAATGTTTTTGCCCTGCATTGCAGCTCTTGAAATATAAACTTATGTACGCTTGTCTCTGCAGACAGCATGATCAGAGTGGGAGGAGACTACCAGGCTCAGATCCCAGAGTTCAAACCAGGTAAGCTGGGAGGGAGAAAAGCACAACAAAAGGAGACGACAGAGGGCATTAAAATTGACGATAAAAAGAGAGAGAGGGAGGGAATAACCTCTGTGTCTCCTCTTGGAAGGAGACACAGAGGTTGAAGAGAAGTGTGGAGGAGACTACGGATGAATGCAGATTAGTAGAGGAGTGAAGGTCAAAAAGAGTCATTTTACAATAGAACAAAAAACAGGAAAATGAAAAGAAGGCTGGAGGGGAAAACGAGGAGCTGTCATCTTTGTCCAGTAATGCAGACGTCAGAGTGACGCTTATTTGTCAGTGTTTTAGTGTTATTGAATGCAAAATCAGAAGGTTCAAAAACATTAAGTGTCCTCCATGAAAGAGCCCTGTTGCTTTGCTTGAGTAGATGAAAAATGTTTTGATGCTGAGGAAACAGTCGTCATAACCTTCACGGAGGAACGGCAGCATGCTTCAACAGCTTGTACCAAAGAAGGGGACAAGCAGGCAAACCAGCATAATCTGTTGTACTGAGTGCACAAATGTTGACTTCCCAAAGAGTTCAGCTGATGAAGAGGGAGCTTTAGCCAGATGGAAACACGCAAAGATGGGTAGATGGATAAGAAAAGAGAGATGCTGGGGATTGAGAGAGCTTAAGTGGTGGATAGGAGGGACATGGAGGTGACATGAACGAGTAAAAGAGGGATTGACAAATATGTATAACCTCAAAGTGTGGATTTAAGTGTTCGCTTTGTGTTGTTTGTTTCCATTTTCAGACAGCCCAGCCCGCTACAGTGAGAAGGACCAGAGGAGCATGTTGGTCTGGTGTCCCAACAGCCAGCTCTCTGATGCTATGTGTAAGCTCCACACACCTGCCTTACCTTGTATTCATGTGTGCGAGCTAAAAAACTTGACCTTCAGTTTAATGGATATATGCTGACTCGAGGGTGGCAATTAAAACTCTCGACTGTCTCTTCCTGTGCACTTATGTTCTTTCTCTCTCTTACCCTTTTCCTCTTCATCTCTGTTTTCTGTTATTATGCAACCCCTCCCCCCCCTGTTCATTTTTTTAGTCTTCTCTTCATTCTCCTTCACCATCTTTAGATTATTATGTATTATTTTAACAGTTTTTCTGGGTGTTTCTGTCTTCTTCCAGTGGACGAGTACATCCTCATGGCTAAGGAGAAACACGGGTACAACATGGAGCAGGTAAGGGCATCAGAAACAAAAGCTCAGATGTTTATATTTCTTTCTGTCTTCTGACCTAAACTTTTCCTGGTTTCCTGACTTTTGGCTCCATCAGGCTCTGGGCATGTTATTGTGGCACAAACACGACGTGGAGCGCTCACTGGCCGACCTGGCAAACTTCACCCCCTTCCCGGATGAGTGGACAGTTGAAGATAAAGTGCTGTTCGAGCAGGCCTTCAGCTTCCACGGCAAGAGCTTCCACCGCATCCAGCAGATGGTGCGTGACTGAGAGAGACACACATGCACTTACCACCCTAAATATTTAAAACGAGTGATGAAAAGTAAATTTTCTTTTTTTCGTGTTTGTAGCTTCCAGACAAGCTGATCTCCAGCCTGGTAAAGTACTACTACAGCTGGAAGAAGACCAGAACCAGGACATCAGTCATGGACCGACAGGCCAGGAGGCTGATCAACAAGAGAGAGAAAGATGACAGGTTTGAGATGCCTTCACCAATCGTGGAGAAACAACTGCTCACCTGAGATCTGACATTTGGAGAACTTTTTTGTTAAATGACACTCAGTGAGCGCGGCATCCTGGGAAACTAGGCTCATGAATATAAATAAGACAGGCTGATATTATTTCTTGTCTTTTCAGCTGACATTTTAGAGCATTTCAGACGTGTGTTTGATGAAATTTCAACAAGAAAACAGCACAAAGTTTAAACACTGGTGTGCTTTGTGTAATTTATGTTTTTTGTCTTGCAGTAATGATGAGATTGAAGAAGGAGAGCAGGCCAGTGACAGTGATTTTGAAATTGATGCCAAGAAAGAGGTGAGAAAGTGTGTGCACATTCAGAGAAGCAACTTCTGTGAGGTGAGGACCGAGCTGCCTTGACACTTGAATGATATTTGTGATTCGATGTGCACACAGGCGGCAAAACAGAACGCGAGCAGCACCAGCTCTGACAAAGCCACGCCCAGCCGCTCCGGTCCAGTGAAGAAGGAGAACATCGGAGCTCAGTACAGACACCACCCGCTCAGAGCCCGCCGCAGGCCACCCAAAGGCATGCACCTGGAGCAGGCGGACATCATGTCTCTGTCGGCCTCTCACGATGCTGGAGTTCTAACCATTCGCCAGCTGGACACACAGCTGGTTTCACTCAAGAGACAGGTGCCAGGGTTTTCAGTGTAGATTTAATGATGTCTTTGGTCATCAGATTATAAATGCAAAGAGTAAATGCACATGAATGTTCTCAAAGCAGATTTTAGCTGCAAGAACTACCACTCGGTGCTACCAGCTAAAAAATAACCCTACCTCACTGCCCCTCCTCTGTCTCAGGTCCAGTCTATCAAACAGAACAACAGCAGTTTTAAGCAGAGCCTAGCTGAAGGTGTTGATGGCTCCAGACCTACAGACGTAAGTCTTGAAACTCCCCTCTCTATGCCCTTTCCCTCCTTTCCATATCCCTTATTTACTGCCTCATTTCTTGCCTGTATTCAATTTTCTCCTCCCCTGATCTCGCTCCAGTTTGTTCCTTTGCTCATCTATTCACGCGGCCCTTCCTCAACTCCCTCCAGACAGTATTTCACCCCTCGTGGGACTGACTCTAGTCTTAACCTGCTCATTGCTCTCTTACTGCCATCTTCCTCCCTCTCTCCCCCCCTTGTTTCCTACCACCTACCTCACTCTCATTCTAATCTCTAGTTCTTTCTCTCCTAGCCTGCCCCTAAAATGAACTCTCGTTGGACCACAGAGGAGCAGCTCCTTGCAGTGCAGGGTGAGTGAAGGCTGTAGCTTCCTCCCCCTCCAAGAGGCACCTCTTGTCGTCAGCTCTCCTCTACCTGCCTCCCATTCACAGCCAGATGTCTTATTAGACATTCATATTGATATTCTGCACACACAGGAGCTGCCTGTACTCGTGTGTTGGTACGGTACAAGCTCCTCGATTATTTCTCCAGGAGCTACTTTTGGATATTTTGCAATGGGCTGATGCTGGTGGGAGTTTTTGTCTTCAGGGATGGTAACGTTTAGAAAGCTTAATTTTGCCCCTAAAAGAGATATTTATTTTTTTATTTTGACATGAAAAGAGACGAAGTCCTATTGTGAAGCCTCTGGGTGTATTTGCCCTCATTATATTAGTTCTTTTAAAGACAAACATGAGTATGGGGTGATCTGACTGTGAGTGAAGCACTTACAAAAACTTATCATTAGCTCGTTCCCAAAGTGAGGGCCGAGGCCCCCTGGTGGATCGCAGTAATAACAGAAATTCAATTTGAAATTAGTGGTAATAGGAGGTAGTTGGGTTGTGATATTACTCATTACTCTACCCTTGTGTTGAAGTCTTTGTCCCAGTGACAGGAGGGTCACACATTGACCTCAACACTTTGCATATAATATAATAATATTAGCCATGTATAGCCAACCGCCTGCACTGTTTGATTTTGGATCAAATTCCCTAGGAAATGCATCACTTCTGTTTTGTATTTTGATTAGCATGAAGGTTTAGGATTGGGTGGGCCTAGTGGGAATTTGTTTTTTAACTGGGCTGCACCACTCTTGACTTTGGGAATGGTTGTCCTAATTAATCTATAGCTTTGTCCTTGATGGAGACCATAACTTACAAAATTAATGTCATTTTATTTGGTATTAAACAAGCATTTGAGCTCAAACTCATTAAGAAAGTGCTCACTGAGGTCAAAGCGCAAGGGAACCAGGGACTGTTTCCCAGTATACCTCTAAGACCTAAAATGCCCTTTTTGCCCATAGATGAGTCGTCCTGCTGGTCATTAGACAGAATGCAAATTTAAGGCACTTCTAATCTACTCAGTTCTGACGTTTAACTCCATCACCAGTATACAGTCTATAGGGGGAGAGCCCTGTTTGTTTCAGTTTTTCATGACACGATGGAGCTACAGGGTGCCGTAAACTTCAGGTCTGTTCATCGTGTGCATTATTTCAGCTTTAAAAGCGAGCACGAGGAGAGAAAATCAGAAGTTGTTAGGAGCGTATCAGTCACAAAAGTGGAAGGTAAAATTAGCAGCTGCAGCCCGTGTGCCTTTGAGCAAAACCTGTACCTCCATGTAGTACAGCTGCTCCAACAGAAAAAACAAAACAAAAACCCTGAAAGTGTGCAGTGAAGCAGGTCAGGGCGGGAAAAGAGCAGGTGCACTGAGCCAGCTGAGCTCAGATGGAGGTTAACTGTAAACATGCTCACCATACGTGACTCTTCCTGTCCCTCCTCTCACATCCTCTGCCACACACCCCTCACTGAGCGAGAGGAAGCTGGCTGATTCTGTTGCTTTTGATTGCTATATGCTGCTTGGTACAGGCAGGACATTAACCCGACTTCTCTTTTCCAGCTATCCGGCGTTATGGTAAAGACTTCACCGCCATCGCTGAAGTGATCGGGACTAAGACTCCGGCTCAGGTGAGCTTCCTCTTTCTCACATGTTGAAAGTGTGTGAAGACCACCTCTCGTCTTATTCTGACCTCACCCAGCAGTGCAGTTGAGGGAGCTGCCTATCAGCTTTTCATCTCTTTTCCATTTTCCCTTTCATCCTCCGCCTAACGGTTTCCCCTATAGGATCTCTGTAATCTCCATTATCCCTGCTTTCATTTGTCTTCTCCCCTCTAACGTCCGCCTCTGTGTCCTTGAGATCGGCATCACTTTGTCCTCATTCTCTTCCTCGCCAACTCTCCATCTCTCCCCGGCTTGCTCAGGTGAGCTCGTTCTTCGTGAGTTACCGGCGCCGCTTCAACCTAGACGAAGTGCTAAGGGAGTGGGCGGCGGAGCAAGTGGCCACCAGCCGAGACCAGAGAGACCCCAGGAGGAGTGGTGAGGAGATGGCAACGGCTACAGATGGCGGCGTAGAGGAGGAGGAGGTGAGGACAGTTAATACCCAAGAGGTGCCTGTAAGAGTTTCTGATTTTGTTGTCACGTGAAATCTGTTTAAGAGAAGTTTTACATGAAACTGAAGCAGGTTGTAAGAATATTATTTGTATTTAATATAAAGCTGTCAGCATGTGAGTGCTGCACATGAATCTGTACACCTCTGTTCTATCTTAATTGCACCTTCTGCTTTTTAATAAAGGATTAAACACACGACAAAGGCTGTAAACAGATTTGTATCTGTGTAAATAATTATTAGTTTGATGGAACTACTTTCAGCGGTGGATTAACACGTGTGCTGCAGGAGAGCACATGACTGAGTGTAGGACATGCAACAGCATGTTAGAGCAACTTGTAGCTTCAGTAATATTTGGAAGTAGTAGGACTGGGAGCTTTGCCATCTCCACCAACCCTTTCCTGTGTCTCACTGACAGATTTAAAACGACAGACCTCGTAATGCAACTTTGAGTGATTCACAGTTCAAACTCATCCCTATGTATCTCACACTGGGTGTCGGTGTAGCCCCTCTGTCCGACCCACCAGCAGGTGGGCGGGGCCTCTGTGCTCACAGACACACTATTTGCTCACTCGGTGACAGCACACAGAGCCAAAAGTACAAGACATGAAACGCAGCATCCGATTGCAAAACGTAAAGTTTTTATCTGCCCACCGCTTTTGTTCCTCTCTACATCCTGTTTGCACCTCCTCCTGACGCTCCTCCATCTGTCTCTTTCCTCCCCCTTCAGGTCAAAATGGAGGACCCCCCCTCAGACGCCACAGGCAGCTCCTCTCCCCCCTCCTCCGCTCACGCCCCGTCCTCTTTCTCCCAGCCTCCCCCGCTGCTGCGTCCAGCTCCTCCTTCAGCACCCCCGAGCCTCCTCCGTCAGCCGCCTCCTCTTCAGACGCGCCCGCTTCAGAACAGAGCTCCCCACAACCACCCCCCACCTCCGCTCATCCGGCCCGCAGTGACCGCCACCACCACCTCCTCCGGGAGTCTCAGGGGTTCTCCTCCCACCTCGTCCTCTTCCTCCGCTGCAGTTCAGATGCCTCCATCACTGGTCGGGCTTAAAGTGGAGCAGCCCAACTCACACTGATAGACACATGCAGCAGTAGGAGTAGACGCAGACACGCGCACACACATAAAAAACACACAAACACAAAGCTTCTCTTCCTTCACCCTGGGACCATCACACGACCACATCAAATGACACCCTCAGGTCCCCAGTGTGACATCAATCGTCATTAGTGACGTGAAGCTCCTTTACTGTACTGACAAACACCTACCTCCAACACACACACACACACACACACACACACACACAGAGCTAGGAACTCCAAACACTACCTGCACACAACACACAGAAGAGACACTGGATCATGAAGCCGTTAAAGAAAGCCACAACCACAAGAGTGCAAATCCACCTGCACGTCTCCATGGCAACTCTTGAACATCTGGAGGACTGTGGATGAACACTATGTATATCTATATGCTGTAATTGCATCGGTCTAGTCATCCACACAACCATCAGGAGAAAGAAAAGGAATAAATGAGGGAAAGAGGAAGAGTGGCCCACAGCTGAGCCAGATGTGCTGCTCCTGAGAGGGCGTCTACGTCACACGCAGCATTTTGTTTTTCTTCTTTCAGATCTAGACCCTCAAAGGGGAGCGGAGGTACTTTTTCAAAAGCTTTGTGATCAAAGCTGAATCTTTTATTTTGGTTTTGAATTGTTGATTCTTTTCATTCTGCGTTGGGCGAAATCTTCCCTCATAGCCATGTATTGCTAGTATTAACTGGAGTGGTGTTTTGGTTTTTTTTTGGTTCAGCTAGAATTTTAAAGGTGTGCCTGAGGTAGGCAGTTAGTTACTGTAAGTAGATTAGATGGTGTACTTTGATTACTGAGCGTAAAGGAGAAAAAGAGCCCGTTAACATGCTCTGTCTCACGTTTCTGGAGCTGTTCATTGGCTCAGTGTTCAAATCTTGTTACTTTGGAGGAATATTTGAAGTGATCAAATCCCCAACATCTGCAGTGCAGCTTTAAACATCAGTCTGTGATGTTTCAATAATGGTGTTAATATTCTCTAAATAAGTGATGTTTGATCTTTGACAGCCGCGCCTGCCAAAGTGTATTGTTGCTTTAAACGCAGAGTTAGGCACGGAGCGTCAGAGAGGAGTCTGACATTTCACATGGTTGCATTGTTTCTTACACAGGAAGAGTTTGACATTTTTGGAAACACTCGTTTGTGCTCTCGCAGGGTCTCAGTCTCCGAGCGGCAGCCTCGATTACCACTTCAGAGTGGTATCTCTCTGCACTCGTCAAAATGCCAAACCAGTCATTTAAACCCAAAATGGAGCAAGTTGCGACTTTCAGTTAGTGTGTCTGAGTAATTTATAGAAATGACTTTACAAAGAGGTGATGACTTTGTGTTCCCCCGAAGTCCAGATAAGGCAGCCTCGAGTCCTGTGCTGTCCTGGCGCAGAGGTCAAAGGAGATCTGGAAGACATCTTTGCTGCAGCGTCAGCCACTTGATTCATTTATCCAATAAACTGAGTGCTTCTGAGTTGTGCAACAGTGCAGTTTTCTGTTCATGGCTACTGCTTCCAAAAGTGATGGAATGGCACAACCTGATGAACAAATGCAGATGATTGAAGCATCTGTCTGGATGACCTTTGTTGTTTATTTCTGTTGCTAGTCTTAGACTACTCTTGTCTGCATCGCTGCCTTTTTATGCAGATCTGAGGTCAGTGGTTAAGCTTCCTTAAACTGTGGTGTTGCCCCAAGCGTAGCCTCAAATCACCTACTTTTGTTAGCAGAGGCCTTCAGCGTTCAGTTGAACGCGGCACTGAGGAGGAACGGAAACTGCATCGCTACGTTTGGCTTTAATAGAAGTCTTGCCTTTTTCACCTGTTTTGTTTGTTCCTCCAAAAAACCCTGCTTTTGTGTACTGTATGTACCAAGGTGTTTACATTGTGGAAACTGAACTGTGTTTGAGGCGTTTTTTTTCTTTTGAATAAACAAATGACCAAATTCTTCACGATGTCGGTTTTTGAAGACGTTTCTCCAGCTAAGCTATATTTTCTGTCATAGACAGTCATTTTATTCATATTGAACTATTTGTTAACGCAAATCAGTGCATTTAGGCATGTTCAAGAAGTCCTGAAGTTCAAACAGAATGGTGAAGGAAGGTGATTTAACTTTGAATGTGGGTTCCAGACGGGGTTTACGATAGGGGCTTAGAATGATCCACAAGACGTGCAGGTAACAGTAACTCAAAACCACTTGTTATGACCAAGGTGTGCAGAAGAGCATCTCTGAATGCACACATCAAACCAGATGGGATACAGCAGCAGAAGACCACACTTGAGTGCCATTCCTGTCAACTAAAAGTAGGAAACTGAGGACAACTCTGAGCTCACCAAAAACTGGACAGTGAAAAACTGGAAAATGCTTCCTAGTCTGAGTTTTGAATTCTGCTTCCACTTTCAGATGTTTAGGTCTGAATTTAGCATGAACAACATGAAAGCATGGATCCCTCCCACCCTCCTGGTGGTGTCATGGTGCACGGGACGTTCCCTTGGCACATTTTTGGGCCCCTTAGGATCAAGAGGCTACCTGAGTGTGGTTGTTGACTATGCAAATCCTTTCTAACACAGTTTTCCCACCCCCTTTTGGATGTGGTGCAATTGGAGAATCCCATCAAGACACAAGTGCAGTCTGCCATCTAATCACTGGAATATGGAGTGTGCCACGAAGAATTGAGGCAGCTCTGAAAGCAAAAGGACATCCAAACTGGTGTATGTAATAAAGTGGCCAAAGTGCTGCAGGGGAGTTTCATGACTTCGTAATGCCAAATCATCAAAACCCTTTGTTTAGTTCTAACAGGTTGGATCACCTGCATTCATCACATGCAGGGCTGCAGACACCAGCCTGCTGAGCTTGACCTCTGTGACTTTCTGCAGAACGAGAAAGAAAACAAAGCATATTCTGATAAATATGCAAACTTTAACTTCAAAGCTTTCATAAAAATCATAATGAAAACCAAGATTCAGAAGAGCCGAAAGAGAAGAAAAAAAAAAAAAAAAAAGACGTCTCACTCCTGTACAACATCCACTTGCCCAAGTTTGAACACAAACATCTGCTCAGGTGATGTGACAAAGATTCACAGCGGCTACTACACTAAACCTCAACTGCTGCTCATATAATGGATTTTCAGAGTCAGGCTATCATTATATCATTGTTTTTATTACTATCATTGTAATTTTTCATCATTTTGTCTTTGCACAAAAAAAGAAAAGAAACAAAAAAACAAAACAAATAATACATTTTTCAGGAGTTGATCACCCCCTCCCAACCCCCCAAAAAACCCACCACTACAGTTACAGTTCGCTCAAAACACATTTAAATCAATGTAAATTACAGCAATGTAAAACGAAATAATGTCAAATAAAATCAACCCTGAAAGAGATAATATAACAGCAACAGCCAGAATAATTAGAATCCAATACCCAGCACCTTAATACAATGATCAACGTTTTAAAAGGAAAATCTGATGTATTAAAAACTGAAAGAACTAAAACAATAAAATTAAAATAAAAAAATAAAACGACAGTGTGTCATTGTGAGAGAAAGAAGGAAAAGTGTTCAGTTAGGTACAACCAGCTGACGGGCACCAGCCTTACTCCGACCCCTGCGTCTGTCCGTGTGTGTGTGTGTGTCTCTCTGTGTGTGGTTTCTTTTTCTGCACTAACAAAACTGGAGCATCAAACGCAACGAGAAAACGAGTTAAAGGAAGTGACTTCTTCTGCTTGTGGTTTCGAGAGTGAACGTGTGCTCTGAGAAGTCTTTCCTGCTTTTTTTCCCTTCCTTTTTCCTCTCTCTGCTCCAAACTACTCTGGACCAACGAGTCCTTTATATAAAAAAAAAAAAGAAAACGAATTAAAATAAAATAAAAGAAGGCCAAAAACGAACAAGCAGTAGTCGTCAACACCACCACCATCAACATCATTAAATACATCGACATGTCCTGCACCGGAGAGGAGGAGGGGGGCTGGGTTTGTCTGTGTGTTGAAGGTGCGCTTATACTTTGGGAGGGGGGGGGGAGACAAAAAAAACTAAAAAAAAAGGCAGCGATGATGCGATCTGACAGTGAGCCTTCACTGCGCCCCAAATCTGTACAAACTCGACGACACAAAAATATATTATCAAATCAAAAGGAGAAGAAAATAATTCACCATTCTTCGTCAATGTCGTCCTTAATCGTTTTTGTTGCTTTTTAGTTTTTCCAGTGATCTCTTACAACAGTCTCGCACACATACCAACAACCACGACTTGTGTGTCTGCTCTTTGGGAACACCGGGCTGGGGCGGGGGGCGTAGAAATGCGTCGGTACTGGGTTGACATTCTGGATATGAAGGCGTGATGCCAACCAAGAGGTACCAAAAAAAACCACAGGAAACCAGAAATCATCTGAGCGTTTATGTGCTGACAAATGGCAATGAAAACAAACGCCCAGATTTGATTCTTCAAAAGAAAGGCAACTTTAAAATGAAAAGAAAAATTCCATCATCATCAGTCCTCCCCTCTAATAAGATGCTGATCTTTTTCCAGTGCACAACTCTTTAAAAGCCGATAAAGAAATTCAGTTTAAAAAAAACAAAACAGAACTAAAAGTACGGACTTACAAAGCTGCAGCCCGCAGGATCAACTGACCTCCTCGGACGTGACTGTGTGAAAGATTTAAAAAAAAAAAAACATAAAGGGGGGAGAAAGGGAGTTAAAAGGTGAGAAGATGGATGTGCTTGTGCTGACTTCAGTCTGAACGGCGGAGGAAGAGACAGCGAAGAGTGTGTGAGGGCAGGAGGGAGGTGGATGGATTGTGTCTTTGTGTGTGTGTGTGTGTGTGTGTTGTGTGTGTGTGTGTGTGTGTGTGTGTGTGGGGTGTTGTGTTTGCTGGCTCTAGTCCACTCAGGTTTGGAGGAGAATCAGAGCAAAACTTCTTTTGAGTTTTCCAGCAAAATAAGGCTCCACGATCCATTCTGAACTTTCTGTCAATCATTCAGAGCAAAGATCCCCCCCCCACACAGCATCCCTCTGTTTGCTTTGATCTCCCATCCACCCGCCTGACCCCACCCCACCCTGTCCCGTTCTGGCATCAGAACCGTGCAGAGAAAACGGAATAAATAGCAGGAAGAAATGATAGGAGTGGTCAAAGTGTGCCTCCTAAAAAACAGAGAAGAAGAAGATCGGACATGCAGAAGAGTGGAACGTCTAAGTAGAACGTGACAGAAACCCCTCACCCTACAGGGGGGTGGAGAAGAAGAAGACCGGCCTGTAAGTTCTTCACAACTCAGAGGAATTCGGCTCCGGTTCTCTAATCCGAGCGCCTCGGGGAACTTATGGAACAAACTTCTAAGGAAAAAAAAAAGTTTTCTAGTCTCAGAACTGGCAGCCCGACGTCAGACCTGACGTAACAATCGTGTCGTTTTTAAAGTGATCCCACCCCTTAGCTTACGTCCTAACCCAACCTACAGCATCATCACTCCTCTCGCCCTCATCCTTCACCCTTGCATCTCTTCTTCGCTGCTCCTCTGCGCTCACAGTTTGAGCTCGTTGGCGATCTTTGAGGCAATGTTCTTGAAGGCGATGGACGTGCCCGAGATCCGCTTGAAGCGCACGCCGTTCAGGGAGAGTCGCGGCAGCTTGCACACCTCCATTTCCCACTGGACGAAGTCGTCGTGCGCCGGTTTCCCGGACATGCACAGCAGCATGTAGCGCTCGCGCAGCTCGTACTCGCAGCTGTTGGAGTCGAGCACCTTGCGGATCTCGCGCATCATCTCCGTGGGCTCCATGGACGACGTGGTCTTCATGGACCAGGTGAAGCGCAGCGAGCGCGGCTTGACAGGGTCCTTCTGGCTGGAGATGGCGGGAGGGGTGCCAGTGCCACCTGGAGGAGTGGAGAAGAAGAACAGTGAGAGGAGAAAGCAATAATGTCTAATTTAAAACCTCACTAACCCTGGAGAACCCATGGGGTCAGAGCCAACCCCATTGGTTTTCTAGAGAACCCATGGGGTCAAATTTGACCCCATGGGTTCTCCAGGGTTAAGACGATTGTCTACAAAGAAATGCTGACCTCAACAGCACCAGAGGTGGATTTAGTGTGCCTGAATCAGGAAACTTTAAAATCCTGGAGATGATCAATTTTCAGGAAATGTAGCTACTTATCGAGTCTGCCATATCTGATCTCAACAGCGCTCTCTAGTGGCCAAAAGTAGAGTTTCTCTTATAGCCCGTTTCCACGAGTACCTACTCAGCTTGTCTGGACTCTGTTTTTAGGGTTTTCCATTAAGTGGTAGCACCTGGTACCAGGTACTTTAGTTCCTGCTCGATCAGGGTTCCAAGCGAGCCGAGTTGATCTGAAAATGTGATGTAAACAGAGAGCATGCTGCCGATTGGCCACTCAATGGCATCACTCTGAGTCATGAGCTTGTCTCCTCCAGAAATATCAAACCTGCCATTTTTGAACCTTTGCAAAAAGGGAAGCGGCAGCAGAAAAAACACCACCCTGGTATACTGTCGCCTAGATGTCCTCCATTGCTGTGTTGTGTATCTGTCACATATAAAATGACCAAAACTGAGTTGAGAAGAGTCAAATTGTCATGAACCCACCAGTGTTTCCAGATCCTGGAGACGAGTTGTTCTCATCGTTGTTAGAAGAGGAGGACAAACCACCGGACGTCTTCTCGGACTTGTCTACAGTACTGGTCAGCACAGGCCTGTGTGGAGCGATGGGAGGGTGGAGGAGGTAGTGCGAGAGAGGAGGAAAGATAAAAGGGAAAAGAGAGGCCAGAGGGACAGATGGGGGAGGGGCAAGAGGGGTGGAGAAAAGGAAGGAAGGGGAGAAGGCAGGAAAAGGAGGGAGGATGGGCATAAGCAAAGAGAGAAAATGAGGATAAAAGTGTGAGAAATCAGAATTATTTAAAGAGCAGAGACAAAAAGGTGGAAGGAGGAGGAATGCAGAGGAAGGAAATAATGAGGATTGTGGAAATGAATGAAGACAAAAAGAAAAATTTGAGCACCCCTGTGTGCGTTTGTGCACGCGACTCGCCGGGCAGCACGCGGGTCGATCAGGCCCGAGTGCGCGTTTGCGTTTCGGGTGTGCGAGCGCACAAACGCACATCGGGGGCGCTTGGATTCTGATTTTCCCTTCACACACAGGCACCACCATGCAGCATCACCCTCCGCACCATCACTCTCAGTCTCTAAGATGCTACCATTCACCTCTCATCTCCCATCCCCTGATTGGTTAAACCGTTACCACCATCACCAACTAATTACACATCCACAGCTCGCCCCTCACCCCGGCCCCCACCATTCACAACAAGCTCAGATCATCTACTCATTTCTTCCACTCTACTGATTGGCAGGCGGTTCGGTAGAGTCTGGGAGGTTTGTGGGAGTTTTTTTGTTTGTTCTGTATCTCACCTGCTCCCCTCATCATCACCCTCTCCCTCATATGGACCCCTCGAAAAAAAAAAAAAATCAACACAAGTTTAGTCTTTATATTTTATAAGGGCTTATGGCAACAAGTGGGCTCGTACACAGACAGGAAACCAGCTGGCTGAACACAGTCACGCCGCTCACCATGCCCGCCTCAACCTTCCAAGCCAACCACTTCAAGTGTGTGCCAAATATTGAATTCCACTCCAACTGCCTAAAAGGACTCCACAGCCCACAATGCACTGCTGTGGCAGGTGTTCCAGGTAATACCAGTCCACTGTGAGCAAACACTATCATAGTACCACCACTCAGTGGAATTTAACAAGTTCAATTCAGCTTATCTAAACAACGCCAAATCAAAACAGCAGTTGCCAATATAAATAGTTGTATAATGTAAGGTACAGACCCTACAATAAGACAGAAATCCCCAACAGTCAGACAGTGGGAAGGAAAAACTCCCTTTTAACAGGAAGAAACATGTGGAAGAACCTCGCTCATGTAGGGGAAGCCATCTGCTGCTGCCAACATTAACATGTATTTACTAACACTAAAAAAACAACAACCCAACGACAACAAAAGATTCAATGCGTCACTATGGACTTGTTCAACCTGTTTTAATGTTAGAAAACTCTACCTAGAAAACGCCCAAAGTTATAAGGTGGAATTTAAGGAACTGGTTCAACTCGCTCTGGGATGGATGAGAAAATGTTTGAGTCGAAATAAATTAAGAATGAAGCGAGTCCGAATGAAATAGCTAGACACAAATGGAACGGCTCACTGTGGACCAGAAAGGGGGTAATTTGAAGAGTATGGAACAGCACGGACTTTCACAGAATGGAACGGTGGGGTAACTGGTGTAACACTTTGGAGTGGAGTGGAATCCAACAAACATGGAAAGTTAGGAACACGTCATGAAGTGGAACGGTTTAGATCCCAAATGGAATGGTTTGGAAGAGAATGGTCGGCATGGTGAGGGCGAGTCCTGTTGCTAGGAGGAGGTTAGGAGCATTAATAATCCCAGCACTGCGTTAAAACCTGTATTAGTAACACTTGATCTACACGAAAGCTGTTTACCTCTCTCTCTCTCACACACACACACAAACACACACTCCCTGTAAACAACACATGAACTTGCAGCCCATCTAACATTCGACATATGCGCACGCATCCTCTCTCACACCTGCAAACAACAACGAACGCACACAAACGAGACTAAAGCAAGAAAAGCAGACGACAAACAGAAAAACACAGACAACAGCCAAACACGTGCAGACGATGCCAGGAAAGTGACACAAACATGGAAAAAATTCAACACATGATTTGCAATTCAGTTTGTTTCGGACAAAGACAAAATTCTTGTTTTACATTATTGAAAAGAAAATGGGGGGGAAAAAAAGAATGACCAGAAACACCATGTCAAATACCTTCTGCAAAAGAAGCCATGGTTAAAAATATAGCACAGTGGAAATGACGAGGAGGAGCGTGGGGTGTGGGGAGACCCCAAACAAACTGTAGATGAGGAATTCTGTAACAATGTAAAGTCATTGTGCCATTTTGCATCCCATTGCCATTTAACTTGATATGAAGGGATGCAAAATGGCTCGAGGAGTAGGAACACCATGACCGTGATCAGTCTTTTGTTTTCTCGTGGAAGGGAAAACAAAAGACTGATCAGATGATTCATCGATTTTAAAAACAGCTTACTCAGTCCCAACACACAGGTATGATAATCACTGGAAATATGTGACTACTATTTAGTCATGTGTTTAGCAGTGGCTTTAGATTTCACCCTATAGTTAGACATTTTCTACTATTACATTTTCAATTTGAAATATTTTTAGAGTCACTAAACAGCTTAGAGAAAACACAGCTATAATAATTTCACCGTGATAATAAAGTAACAGCTTTAAGCCAGCAGGTGGAGCAATGGTCCACTCTAAGACCTGCTGGTTAAAATCATCCAACACACTAATCAGGAGACATGTCCAGTCTGGTTGTGTACATACAGAAATGTAAAATGTGTCAACACGCGTCTTTCATTTAGACTAAATATGTAGATGGACATGGAAATAAGGTGTGTGTTTGTATCTTAATGTACGCACACAGACACACTGAGCTCAGTGTGTCTGTGTGCGTACATGTGAAACAAATGTATTTGTGTTTATATATTCACAGCATTAAAAAACAAAAAACAGCTTCTTTTCCAGCCACTGTAGGTCAAAGCCATCCACTTGTGTTTCTGCTGCTGTTAGAGAGCCAGTGCTACAGTGAGAACAGAGCAATGAATGAGTGGAAAGAGTGCAGCCTCCAGGAAATAGTGCAGCCCCGTCCCTCCTGGGCCCCCTCCTCCTCCTCTCTGACTTAGTCCACAACTACAACCGTATGCTGACTTATTCCAAGCTACCTCCCCACTGGGATCTAACAACAGGACACCTTTAGCCTGCGTGGCTAAGGCAATTCAGATTACGGAGGCCAAACTAATGAAAGCAGGAAGGTGAAATGGGTGATGGTTTGGTTAGCTGGGGTAATGGTTAGCCACACTTTAGAGAGACTACTGGTTCTATTGCTGTGCTTCTGTTATTTCTACACCGAGTTATTTATTGTAAACCGTGGTCAGCGACATGACACGTTTTAGTATTGCCTCACTAGTTTTACATTTTACTATGATCCAGAGTACCAACATGACTGGCACCTCAAGCTATGAACGGGTTAAATGAGGGAATGGATGAGTTTGATGATGGATTCGTCATTAAGGCTTGACCTAAATCTGGGACTCTACAGGGAGATGCAAGCTCACACACAATCTAACTGGAAAACAAATGTGGGGTGAGGATGAAGTAGAGGTGGGCGGGAGGGACGATGGAGGGACGAAGAGGAAGATGAGTGAGGTGTTAATGTGCCACGTGATGATGGAGTGAGTGAGTTAAGTGAGTGGATGGCTGGGTGAGGGAGGGGAGTTAGTAAAATGAAAAACATTTTTAAAAAGAGAAAGAAAATGGACCAAAACACAGCACTCAAAATCAGAAGGCTCAAAAAACAAAGGGGCCAAACCACAGAGAAACAAAAAAAACAACAACAAAAAGGTGAAAAGATAAAGGCTCAAGGCACAAAAGGAAGATCTCAACAAAAAGCTGCACGAAACACCAAAAGGGGAGGAAGTATTTATATATATATGCATATATATATGTAAAATATATATAAAGAAGAGACGTGTGTTTATATAAATCAAGGGGTTATATTTAACGTTGGGGATGTTGCCTACCTTCTCGGAAACCTGAACGAGAGATTTCTACAAAAACAAAAGAGGGATAAAGAAAGAGAAAAAAAAACGTATGTGTAAAACGCATATATCAATGACGTTCTTGTAAAAGACAAAGCTGCCCTCTGAGGAGCCAACTTCAACAGAAAAAAGAAAAATCAGTCCAGACTCACTTGGGATTGAAACGGCAAACAACACCACAGTTAACACAAAGAGAAGGACAACAACAACAACAAAAAGAAGAAGTTACTGCACTGCTGTCGACGTGCAATCTGAACGTGTTTAGATGTACCCTTTATTGGTGTGAATGTGTGAACAAAAACACCTCAGAGGGATTTAACGGGCTCTCTCTGAACACACTCCCCTCCCTTACACAAAGATGTCCGGGATGATCCTGAAAAGAAGCGTTTGTGAGGTGAAAAGTTCAAATGTGATAAAACTTTAAAAAGAAAGAGAGAAGGCGAGAGAACGGCTGCTATAAAAAACACCAATCACACATGTACAAACGACAAAAAGAAAAGCAGACGTTAAGCAACAACTTTTATCTCCTTTAACACAGACAAACCATCGCTCTCCAGACCAGGGAGCTTATATGATACGGTAACAAAACACACAGATTTACCGTGTGTGTGTGTGTGTGTGTGTGTGTGTGTGTGTGTGTGTGTGGTTGGTCTGTGTGTTTGTGCGTTTGTGTCCGTGGTTGTTTGTGATCATTCCTGTAGTGTGTGCTATGTGTGTGTGTCGCGCGCCGCGAGAGCAGACTGGTTCAAGAATGTACAAATGCAACACAATCTGTCTGCCTGCTGTGCTACAGGCACATAACTGTCTGTGTGTGTGTGAGCATGTGTATCAAGGTGTCCCCAGTAGCGGTATTTATAGTTGAGGGAAAAGTGATATCTCCGGTGTAACCATGGATACTGTCGCCACGGAGCTACAGTATCTCTGAGTGGGAGGCCTGGAGAGTGGCTGTGCCTGTACCCTACACACAGACAGACTCTACACCATGCACGTAGGCTACACATATGATCATTTTTTAAGCAGACAAAAACAACTAAAAATATAAGCAAACATATTCTCTACACACACACACACACACACACACACACACACACACACACACACACACAGGATAAAAGAACAAAAAAACTTATATGGTGGCTGTGGCACATTGCTCACTTGGAACTTTTCTCACTTTTGTCAGAGGTTTTCACTTCCTGTCCTGAGCACCTCTCATTCTAGCATTTGTTCTCACTGTGAGGTAGCTACATTAAAAACTCCTCTTATTAAGTATATGATATCTTAAATGTAACATCTTGATCAACTTTGCCGAGTGTAAAACAACCTGCAGGCCATGCATCTGAAATCAACTGTGTTCATGTGGTTTATGGTAGTTCACTGGAATGAGTCAGTCAACAAATCTTCTAAGACCAATAAAACCAATAATAAATCCACTAAAATCTGCATTATTTACTCAGAATGATATTCTTCTTCCTATATGACAAACACTGACAGTGCAGTTCATTTGGAGTCAGGTCCAAAGTCCACATACGCAGACCTGCTGCTGGAAATGCCAAAGTAGGAAACATGCGTGAATACCCATCAAAACAACACTTTAGATCACATTAGCCTCATTATTTGATTACTTAAACATTTTTTAACATCAGCAACATCGAATTCTCCTGAAACTAAAACTTATTTATTTGACAAATGTAAAAATCAGTATCCTGTATTTACCCAGCAGAGTTAGACAGCCAGGAAAAGTTCACTTTACTTCCAGAGAAAGTTATAAATATCGAAATAAACAGTGCTGGCTTTTATTACGATCAGGTACCCTGATCAGCGGCTTCACTGCTGCAACCTGCACTACAAGACTGAGATGAAAACTAGGCCAGACTGGAACCACAACCAAAATTACTCCTCCGTCACCACTGCTCCAAGCAAAATTATAGAGGACGCACAGCTGTTCCCTTCCTCTCCCTTTCTGCTCTGAGCACAGTTACAGATCAGCGCGTGGTTAGTGACAGACGAGACCAGCCCCTTTAATAAAAAAAGTACTCAGTGATGATACGGCCACAGAGTACAATGTTCCTCGGAGAACATCAAAATGACTTGTAATGGAAACTTAGTCATTTTCTGGTTCAAGCTGAAACCTCATAGACTTTAAACTGCACTGGTAACTGGATAATAAAGAGACTAGCTGTTATCACAACTGCTTTGCATTTACCAAACTCCACGCTTCCTCCTTCTACCACACGTCCTCTCCTGTACTTCAGGTTTTTCGACTTCCTTCCTTCCTCTCTAACGCTACAGAATCAAACATCAACTAACCAGTGTTTACTTTTTGTGTGCGGCTTACGCCCGTTACTCACTTGCGTACAAACTTGGATGTGAACTTGCTGAAAATCCCCGTGGCGCCATGTGTTCTTCGGGCCTGGCTGTTGCCATGCGACAGTGATGGAGAAGCAGGCCCGCCGGGGTAGGCGGAGCCATGCTGGTCCCGGGCACTACGCTGCTGACCTGCGTGGAACGTGCTGCGGATGCCCACCCCTCTGGAGAAATTGGTACGGTCTGACACGGCGGCGCTGCTGATGTTGTGGGCAGAAGGGGAGGCGCCGGGTGCCCGCTGCGCCGGGGCACTACAGGAGAGAAGGTGGAAAGACAAGAAGGAGAAAAAGAGAAGGAAGGATGGTAAAGAAAAGGCGACACAGAGGAAGGACAGCGGAGAAGTGGTCATGAGGAGGAGGAAAGAAGTGCGAAACGTTTTTTATGAGCAAGAAAAGGTTTGAAGGTGCGATAAGTAAAGAGGTGGGAACGAGGAGGTGAAAATGAAAAAGAATGGTGATGGATATGGGACAGGAGACAACAGAAGAGAGGAGATAAAGGAAACGCGGAAAGAGAAGGATGAAGGAGACGAAAGTGAAGTGTGGGAGGTGATGCAGGAGGAGAGAAAAGGGATGAAGAGAGAGGATTGCAGTGGAGAAGAGTGTGGGACAGGAACATAAAATTAGTCCAACAGTTAAAGATTAAAAATCACCTCCTTCTGATGTGCTGTTAACTTCAGCGCAAGGTCGTGTTTCATCTAATCCCTCAAGTCAGTATTTAGAGCCACATGAGGTCAGTGGCCCGTGCACATGCACGCACACAGACACACACGAGAACGCTTTTAGCTCAGTGACTGGTTGCAGTCACTGAGCTAAAAGGCTGGATTTGCTTTGTAGGGATGCGCATCTTCCATGACAGTGTGTGGCTGAGGCACGCCTGCAGCAGATGGCAACAAACAAGCACAAGTGCATGCACACACACACAGATAAACACCAACACAGAAGAGCAGCAATACAAAATGAACACTTATTGGCAATGTAGCAAGTCCGCTCGGACGCTTCAGGTACCCATCTTAACAGTTGCCTACCAGCTGAAAGTTGTTGCCAGTAACTGATATGATCACAGTCTAGCTCGAATGATTGCTGAGCTCTTATGAGAGCAGGTGGTGCTGATCAAAAATGCAGTTTCTCAAGTGCAACAGAAACCAAACGGTTCTGCACAATCCCACTGACAGCTTCAAAATCAAGTAAAAAAGACCAAAGAAGGGGCTCCATTCAAAGCGCCAGTGAGACGAGCGAAAAACAGCTCGAGGGTGTCCTTTAATTTGATGTAGATGTGATCATGCTGTCCAGTAGATCAAAGGTATCCAACACACACACACAGATGCAAATTCAAGGAGAGAAAAGCTGGATGAGGCAGATTAGTAGGGACCAGTATCCAGTGTTTTAGTTGAAGATGATAAACTTAATCAGACTGGTTAATAATTCTAATTGGTTTCAACCTATTTTCCTTCTCATTGCACATTAAGTGAAGTAGTGGAGAAAAGGCTTATTCTAAGGTGGTTCAGGGTCATATTGTAGTCTGCACCTACCCTATATACGTTTCAGCACCAACCTGCTTTATGGCAGTACTGTTATGAACACGTCACTCAGAAAGATTTCAGACTAGATGTATCAAACAGGAATGGATGTGAGTTAAGGGTACAGATTATGTTCTGGAAAAAACAAGGTGCCTAAACATCACTCAGGGTACAGTCTACGTGTTGAAGCGGTACCTTCTCTCCAGCGTTCCCAACCAGGTTCTGAACAGCCCAAGCTGACTGCTGAACGACGCATGCAACAGAACAAGACTTCAACATAGAGCAGACAAAACCACATACAGCCAAAAAGGGCCACCTTAACACGTGCATGGGTGGAATCAGTCAGACATTTAGCAGTCGTCTTTTTTTGTTTTAAAAAAAAAAAAAAAAAGGGTCGAAAGCTATCAGAAAAATGGCTGGAGGGTCTGCAGACTGAAGTTAAGGTAGCTGAGGGACACATGCAGTCCTTCCACCTTGTTCTGTGAGACACGGCTGTCTGAACTAAAGCCCAAAAATGTTAAAGTAGCCCGTGAAACAAACACTGTGAAGCAGGGGAGCTAGCCAGCAGAGCAACATATACAGACAAACACACAGATGGCAAATACACACAGGCATTTCACACACATATGACCAGTAGGATCCTCGGGTCATTACTCCATTTCACTGACTCACAGAAACAATGTCAGAGCACAGTTAATGCTTAATAGATGAAAATGGGGTTTTCCCAGGCAAATTCATAACTGAGGGAGGATTACACATATCAGAAGGAGACTGTATGAGGGGAAAATCTTCCTCAAAGAGCCTTTGGGAACAAAACACTGAGGCTGGGAAACCTTAAAGGTGGATAAATTCCCACAAACAGGTGAAAAGCATTTCTACCAGCCGGGGAAAACCCTCATCAACAAACACAATGTGTGCCATAATATCAAATCGGGGACAAAGGGAAAATACCTATAGAGGACATGCAACAGATAACACAAAGGTGTTTTCACATAAACAGAAAGTAACACAGCTACATCTGTAATTTGTCTGGTTCTCCCCAGAGCAACTGCACATTCTTTTACTTCCTCTAAATGACAACGCAGGGATCGTCCGCTCCTTCAGCTTTTCTATTTCATACGCTGGACTGAGAAAATAGGTGTAGGATTATCAAACCAAGATTCTTATGCAATCTATTAAGGCTTCTGAGAATAGAGACATAATTCTTGTTAGTCCGCAGATGGTTTATGCTGCGAGGAAACAAAAACAAGTAGAAAAACAGCTCTGGCCTGTCAGAGGTACAGGACAGCTTAAAAAAATCAAAATAAAAAAAATGAACCTGCTCATCTTGTTCTCAAATCCTGCCTGCTCAGTTATGTCTCCACTGATAGATGAGAGCTTTGAATGTGAGTGACTGGCCAAAGACGAGCTATGTCAACATCTCCACAATTGTGCAGCTTTTCTGAGCTCCGCGATGTACTTCCTGGCCGTTGCTAAGTAACTGGTGAGCCTATGATTGCAAGCCTTAGAAAAGTTGACCATCTCACTATGGTGATGTTATAGTGGAGAATGTATACATGCAGACAGCGCATATCACAGCAAGAATAGCAGCAGCAGAGCCTCACTTATGGCAGTGTTACTTAGTGTGTTTGCTGCTGCACGTTTCTTCACAGTTCTGCTTCGTCATGGGGGGAATAATTGTTACCATGAAGTTATACAGTGACCGTAAGCTTTATGCAGGATATCCATCATAAGAAAAAGAGGATTTTTTTTCTGTTTTGTGATGTTTGGTCCTGTAATCAGCTGCATTTTTTTAGAAGCTTTTAATCAATTCTGCATTTAGTGTAGATGAGCAAGTGTAACACAATCTGAGGACCTTTCTTGGGATAAATCACTTTATCCCATTTTCATCTCTTCTTTTTCTTTTGTGTCCATTGCAGGAAAGATGATGATCTGAGCAGAGAGGTGTGTGCGTGTGTGAAAGACAAAAAGAGTGTGAGAGACTTGCCTGGGCCGTGGTGCGTGCAGGTCAGAGGGGCATGGATGATTGGAGGAGGACAGGGACTTGTGGTGGCGGGGACGCGAGGATGAGGAGGAGGAGGAGAGGACGGCAGCGGCTGAGGCAGTGGAGGCGCGGGAACCCGGAGTGTTTAGGCTGAGAGGAAGGACGGGGAGGAAGAGGAGGAGTGCCCCGCCCAACACACACACACACACACACACGTATATGCAAACACACCCACAAACGTGAGTAAGACAGGACAGGCACGCCAAACAGAGACAATCAAACATCCACCCCAAAAAAAACAAACAAAAACAAAACACAAGCACACCGGGCGGGGTTTGTGTGTAGGTGGGTAGGGAGGTGAAGTGGAGTATGGTTAGAAGCAGCACTTATCATACACTGTAAGGGGGGGAGGGGGGGAATGGGAGGAGGGAGAGAAGAGCAGAGAAAACAGGACACAAGAGGAAGAACAGAGGAAGTAGACACAAAGAGCGACAGAAAACACACACACACACACACACACACACACAGGAACAAAGGAGGAGGGCCAGTGCGTTGCTGTGAACATTGCTTCATTGTGAAACCTCATTCAAAAGGCTGCCTGTCCCTTTAACTTTACATATAAAAATGTACGTGACACAGAGGGCAGAGCACAGGAGACCAGCTTATCTCTCACACACTCACACACAGCACAGCAGAAAGTCAAATTATGTGGATAAAGTCAATAAACACAGTAAAAACAAAGTTTTGCCTATAAATTAAAGAGATAAATAAAACAACCATCCGTGCCTTCATTTCGGTATAAAATCTGCCAGATCTTCCCTCCATGACAACGCGAGGCTTTAGTGTAATGTAGCTTCTATCTTTAGCGCAATGCCCCAAAGTCCGTTCTGACCACCTGCACTCGTGCATCTGTGAGTTCAACACAGACGTCAAACTGGCACCGAGAAGGCATCAGCCTGACAAAACCTCTGAACAGAGCATTCAGCAGAGATCGGCCAAATTTCCCTTACGTGTATACATCACTGGGGAAAAACGAAAAACACACTCGAAAGCTCGACACCCTTTATGTACACAGTAAAATAACAAACAATATTTTTCTTGTTAAGTTCCCCCATCAGTGGATAAATGTGCTTTGTTGCCTCTTTTAAGACAAATTTGTTTCGTTACATTTTCAAAATAAATACTACTGATAGAAGCAAAATGTGCTATATTAAGTCAATTCTGACAACAAACTGTTTCCTTTGCAAACAGTCATGCCAAAAATGCAGATTCCAGCCAATGACACGTTAACAAGTTTAGTTTCTTACAGTAAACCAGCTGGGTAGGAGATCAGAGCTTGCAGTTCCTGACTTACCACTTTCACATACCTCCTCAAATATAAACAATCCAAACTTTTTCCATCTATTTTATCACCTACAAAGTTGCACAACTGACATATCTTAAGAATTACTTAAGAAAACAAACAAAATGCTGAGTTCCTCTTTGAACCCTCTGCTAATCAGGAGGCTGCTACAGCCTACAAAGCTCTGCACATTACCGACGGCGTTAACTTGACCTTATCCACATGCACAAGAGAAAAAAAACACACACACACACACACACACACACACACACACACACACACACACACACACACACACACAGTGTAAGGGACAGCGGAGAGTGGTACCGTGGAGAGACAAGAGATATCAAGAGAGTGTGGAAGAATGAACACAGAGAAAGAGGGACATTTACACAGAAAACAAACACACAGCTGAGAGAAACACAGGGATTAGCATGGCTGGTGATGGAAAATATTAACTGGATAACCCAGTGTGTAGCGAGTGTGAGCGTGTATGACTCGTGTTGAAATTTGTGCATGCCCAGCCGCCTCTCTGCATGTGAGTGGATGTATTTGTGCATATGTAAGCCTATTAGGAGGTGAACGCGAGGACCATATAGTGCTACTAAGAGTTAATATTCCATCACAAGTCTCTAATCTCCTTAGAGAGAGGGGAGGAAAAGAAAGAAATAAGAAGAAAGATTAATATAAGGACAAGAAGAGGGGGGGGGGAGCTCGAATAAAGCAAAGGAAGGAGGTGCCAAGAAAATGTGAGCGACTCCAGAGGGAGGCTCAGCAGCAGATAAAAGAAGCCAAATTAAGGAAATTAGAAAAGGACAGAAAGGGGGGGGTGGTGTGGGTAGGGTATAACAAGTATAAAAGCCCAAACTTCAAAGCATTAGTGATGATCAAATAAAGTAACTTTAAAATCAAAGCAGATGACAACCACTGAGTTAGCAGAGCCTACCATAGTTAACAGACCCACAGTACTAAAAAAGCAATGCTGTCTCAAATGACCGTTTCCAACAGTGAACGCAGAGGAGACTTGATTTTACAGCCTCTACTTGGATTCAAGTGAATCTGCCACACTGTAGGTGGTGCGCCACGTTGGGAACAATGGGGTCATTTGAGACGGACACATGAACAGGTAAACAAAGCAGTATGAACCATGACCATGAATGCTGCGTCCTAGTAGGGATTATGGTTTGGTTTTATGTTTAATGCTCATGAAAAAGCCCACAAAGCACATGGCTGGGTTAAGCATGAGTGATGTGCGTATAGCTGTATGCGGGGACGTGTTATGAGCTGCTTGACACCAGAAGTTAGCACGCGCAGAACCGTCAGAGGGCGACAAGTTTTGGACCGTTCTTTTAAAAACCGAAAGGGGATCCAGGATGAGAGGAGAGCCGGGAGGATGAATCACACGCAGAAAGTTTAAAATGAGAAATTAGAAAGTGGAAAATAGGGGGAATACTCCATAAAACTCCACAGTAGCTCATTTCAGTGAACAAGGAGGGGGAAAAAAGATGGAAGCTTGACTTAAGGCTAAAGAAAATCAATTATTTAACTTAAATGCTGCTTTTAGCCATCTGTGATTTTATAGGATTAATGTCACTTCTGCACCTTCTTTTACCTGGGTGCAGCATGGGTGTGACACCTGAAGGGACTCTGGAGGGACTTATAGGTGTCACACTTCTATTGTGCGTTTTTATAGCGTTTGAAGATCGCGTACGTAAACCTGCACACTTGGATGCTTCCACGTCAGGGCTTTCTCCCGGCCTCCATCAGGCCATCACGAGTAATCTGTAATCTTCTGGAGGTTTGGCCTAAATTCCCGAGAGAGCCCGATTTCCATGTCCAGCAGAGCTCACCCCACCCTGGGGGAAGGCTGCGGGCCTCCCTGAGCCAGCTGGCAGAGCTCTGGAGAGTACCAGCCAAGGTCTGGGATTCAGTCACTGAGACAGCTGTGGGGCTGCTTCATTCACAAACCATGGTGAGTGTGTGTTTGTATTATGTGTATATGAGTGAAGACGCGGCGCTGCCTCAAAGCAACTAGTTGGGCTTTGAATGACGAGAAAGAGTGCCTGTGAGAACGCCTGAGTGGCTGCGTTTGCCCTTGTCTTCTCTCATTTGTAATTCTGTGTGTGTGTATTTAGTGTGCGTGCGTTTGCGTACCTGTCTTTGCCGTTCTGAATGCTCTGGTCGAGAGTGGCTCTGTCGGTCAGAGGAGAATTCCGACTGCGGCCGGTACCGGTGGACAGGATGCTATTCTGAAAAGGAGGAGCATCAAAATAGAAATGTTAGAAAAAAGGGACAAAGGTTTGATTAAGGGTTGATGACCCCACCAAGGTATCCAGGGAACAGCCTTTCAGCAAACTTCTCAATGGAAAAAGGACAAGCAGCTTAAACAACCTAATATGAATGAAAAACCGCCGTAATTAGCGCTCAAGAGAATTTCCCGGATCAAATTAATTTTCATGCACCCTCGTCCAAATTATCTGTGAATGACACAAGAAAAAACCCCCAATTCATTTTCACCTTGCCATGTTGAATAGTCATTTGAAACCTCTCCACTCCCACGTGTGCACTTTCCATGAGAATGACAGTTAAGCTCTGCACAGCTTGAGGTTGGGCAGAGCTATAATACATGTCTGTTATGTCACCAAGAGGTCTGTCCAGGGGCTTTGAACCAAAACGGGTGGACATGAAATTTCCTAAAATATTTTTCACATGCACACTCGACCTTTACAGTTACGTTTTAGTTTAATGGTAGGCGTCAAATACAGATCCCTGTCAGGCACTTCCTGTGTCAGATGTTAAGGTTATAAGACTCCCTCAGGGTTATGCCAATTGATGCCAACTGAGCAGATGAGAGCAGGTGACTGCACTTAAGGCATGTGACACGTGCTTATGTCATTAAATGAACGAAAATGTAACCAATCCGGGCGGATGTGCTGTGGAATGCATGTTCTCTTTGTTCAGGGTTGTGTGAGTAACCGGAAAGACGAGCTCCTGAGCTCTCTTCTCGGAGGCATGAGCCCGGCACAAGGCTGTGAAACATCGAGTTCTTCACCAGGTTTGTGGACGCTGCTCTCATCCCTGGTGAGGCGTTTTGGGTGTACATAACTTAAAGATAAAGGCCTTATCGAACCATCTTCTAATGTAAAAGCAACTACATAGCACGGCAGTGTAACAGCTCCACACCCGCACAGTTTCACTTTCGCAGAGCAGTTAAAATGTTCATAGTTTAAAGGCCACTTGTTTTTATTTAGTTTGATAATTAACTAGGAATTATTTTGATCTTTGGACCACAGCATGTGAGTAATTATGGCTGATGACAGCATACACTAAATGGCAAAAATTACAGCTCTGCAGACGCAGCAGTTACTTGTGCGCATGTTTGGGAATTTGTGTGTGTACCAAGCGATGACGCAAATACAACCCTTTGTGTTTTTGATACGGCTTAAATGCAAATATATCAGCAGCATGGGTATTAGGTCTCACGGTGGAGGGTGTGCCACTCTTCTTGCGGTCGGACGAGGCCAGAGGACTGGCCGGCACCTTGGTGGTGGAGCTGCCTGATGAACCCTTCCTCCCAGAATCCTCCCCTGCTGACCGGTTGTCTGTCTGACCTCCCCTTTTGGAGTAGGAGGAGCCTGGAAAAAAAAAAAAAGGAAGTCAGTGCGTCAGACCAGCACTTAATAGGCTTGAACCTTGGACCTTTCTTCTGCTTTGTCTGCTGGTTTGTCACTTCCTTTTTTACTTTAATCAATCAAGAAGCAGTCATAGCAAGCCCTCTACTCACTCTTCTAATTCCTTCGCTTAACCTTCTCTTCCTTCTTAACCTTTATTCCAGCCTAAATCTTATCCTCGTCTTGATCTTCCATGTCTACAACACAACTACAACTATGTTTCCCGTGTTCCCGTTCCCCTTCAACACACACCAATCTCACCCTGGTCGGTGGTTCGGCGGTTCTGAGGCTTCTGGTTGGATGACACGCTGCGCTGTACCTTAAAGAGAGAAAAGATACACAAAAGGTCAGAGCAGCATTTAACATGCTTAAATACACAACGGGATAGTTTAATGTAGAAGCCATGACCTATGTGTATGATTAAGAACCTCAAACATCAAGAGCTTTTGCTACATGTGTGTGGTCAAGTCAGTGTATCTGTCGCTTGCTGGAGTTGGGGAAACCTCATTAAGCGCTAGCTGAAGACATTATGTGTTCTCATTGTACCTTATTAAGCGGGGGGGGAGCATTTATGTTGCTTACATCACTTCCCGGCCGAGGTTTGATGCCACCTTCATCAAGCTGAGGGAAAAACCAAAACAGACGTCTTAATACAAGAGAGAAAGAAACTGGTATAGGTCACGTAAACAGAAAGGACTAAAAAAAAAAAAAAAATCATATACATATTATTAAAAAGAAGATATATAAAGATAGAGTCACTTCTTCATAAAGGACAGCTCAGCTCTGACAAACAGCACCTTGCATAGTTATTATGACTCTGGTATTACAGGGTGAAGCATGATTTAAAAAAACCTGAGTAACCTCAGAGTTCCTATAGTCCAGAAGCAGGTATGTGGCCATCACGTCGTTGTACTTCTGGTTCACCAGCGAGTCCTGGATCTCCTCCTGAGAGAATCCCATCTGCAGCATGATGTCTGCACATACAGTAAAACCATGTTATAAATAGAACGGTGAGCTGACACCAACTTTATATAACTCCTTAAGATTAAAAAAGAGAAGAATGTATACAGGCTTAGGTGTGGCTGTGTGTGATGAAGAAAAAAGGGGTTTAGAGTCTCTCTTTTTTCTTTTTTTTCTTGCCTACCTGTCCTCCTGGGGTCCTTATAATCTGGCTGAGGTTCGATGTAGGGTTTGAGTTCCTCTTCCTCATAGCCCACATTCATCCACCGGTCTCTCATTATCTGCTGCTGGTAGAAAGCCAAACAAACAGATAAAGGGAGGCATGAGTTGGCAAAAAGGACAAATGGGCAGAAAGGAGTGTGGGGAAGGATGAAAGATGAACAGAGTAGTAGTAGTTCACCCATACTTTTCTCCTGGGAAACTAACGGTGTCACAATTCAGATACTACACTGACAGAAGCATTTAGACTTTAAGGATGAAGCCCACAATATCGCTCATACGCTGCAGAGTCCACGATGATGAAAATGGACATTATATAAAGACTGTATGTCTGATAAAAGCTGAGCGCAATCACAGCAGGGTTCAGTTAAGAGTTATTGATCCACTGGCTTCTTAAAGCAGAATAGACTGTACGTTCATTGTTTGAGCGAGATGCACTTTGCCGATTGAAACAAGTGCGTACAATCTTAAGTGGGTTTAAACCAACAGGCACATGACTCATCTTTAAAAAACATTAAACTGAATTTATGGGGTTGTTTTAGCACGACCAATCAAGGATCGGGAATAACTACATACGCTGACAAAACCTACAACCTGACAAGCCAATGCAAGCAGCAACACTTCCCCCCCTCCCTGTCACCTTAGTAATATTTTTCATCCGAGCAAGTTACCTTCCATCCACATTCAGCGCAACCAAATTAAATTACTCTTAACAGGTATTTACTAAGTCTTTAAAAAGCACTTTGCACCTCAGCAACAAACTCACATATGGCTGATGAAGCAAGTCTAACTTTACAGTCTTATACGGGCTGTAAACACCATTCTTAGCAACGAGCTACATTCAAAACATCTGTAGGACTCATGCAGTTACATATAGGTGGCTGAAATGATCGTTTCATTCACAAGGAAACAAATGCAGTAACTGAATTAAAGGCATTTTGTGACTTGTGTGTGTGCGTGTGGCACTGCTGTGCGTTATACCTCGAGGCTGCCTCTTTTTGAAGGGTTCAGGATGAGGAACTTTTTGAGCAGGTTCTCACAGTCGGTGGACATATAGAAAGGAATCCTGTATTTACCACGTAGCACGCGCTCTCTCAGTTCCTGGAGATGGACAGGTATATGAAGAGTCAACAGTAAGCGCAAACAATCAGCAATTTTAAACACAAACACACACACAGCTTTGCTTTGAAAATACATTTGGGCAAAGCAAAGCAACTAAACATCCAAAGGTTTATGTAAAGATTAAACACTTTATGATGCGAGTAAAGAGGAAATCTCATCAGTATTCTCCTACCTCAATCAGATATGGCTCCACATAGCCAAGCTAAACATTATCTATGCTTACAAATGAATTACAGTTTTATTAAACAGGAACCATATTCATATAAGCTGGTTAGCATTTCAAAAAGCTCTGATTCAATCAGAGCTGCAGCACAGGACGTGGGTGATCTAAGCATTAAATGAAATTCACTGACTTGTGGGTATTTCTTTAGCTTTAATACGAGAACGCACTTCCAGTTCCCAGGCACAGAGTACCATCGCAATTTAACGTTGCTTTTTTAAAAATCACCACCGTTCAGCTCATTTATCAACTTTCATGTGCTCAGACACGGAGCAGGTTAATGCACGTAGTAACGCTTGTTAACACAGCTGTAATGAATGTGCTTATTCTGTCAAGCACTGCATTTTCATAAAACTCAATAGGAGGTAGAGCAAAAGGCATGCTCAGTAAGCCTAGATTATATTTCTCTGGCATTTTAATATCAATACCATCACATTCAATGTCATATCGCCCACCCAAAATGTGTCTGCACTTCCAGAATGAGTCATGTGGGTACTGACTGAATGCACAGTGTGATAGGTGGTGTGAATGATTGGTAGCAAAAGCAGTTCAGGAAACATTAAATCTCTCTTTAAACACCGAACACATATCATCAACAAATGCAAATTTGGAAAGTCAATACAGGCAGAGAGATAATAACTTTCACCCATTCTAGAGTTCAATTTCTGCATTCTGCAGGAAGAGGGAACAGAAACCAGCATGACAAATACTACAACCACCCACAGAATACAGACTTCCACTTATGTAATGCGTGCACACACACACACATTCATCCTTCCGACCTTGAGGTTTTGTCCATCGAAGGGCAGCGAGCCGCTGACCAGTGTGTAGAGGATCACTCCGAGGCTCCAGACATCCACCTCAGGCCCGTCGTACTTCTTGCCCTGGAAGAGCTCTGGAGCTGCGTAGGGCGGGGAGCCACAGAACGTGTCCAGCTTGTTCCCCAGAGTAAATTCATTACTGAAGCCAAAGTCGGCTATTTTGATGTTCATGTCTGCATCCAGCAGCAAGTTCTCTGCCTGCAGACAAACGGCGAGGAGAGAGGTCAGAAGAAGGGGCATTTACTATGTTCAAAATACAGGAGCACAAATAAAGCGGAGGAAAGAAACCACGCCATACCAAATGTGCCAAAAAATGAAAAACAATTAAGATCTGCTTTGTGGGCTCATCAGATCAGAGGCACAAAAAGTATAAATCTGAGCTGCTGACAAAGTGGAATTAAGAAACTGACTAGCTTGGGATCAAATGTAACATGATCCGACATGCAAATGGCTTTGTAGGTAGCACATTCATGGTACAGATGGATTTCTAAAACACTTTTCTTTGGGTTAAAATAAACAGCTGTGTGGGAAAGAGAGCTTTCACAGGAATCGTCTGTGCCGTTCAAGCAGCGCACAATGGGTAAACGTGAGAGACCACAGTTTTTTCCTGCGTGTTTGTATCTTTAAGCTTGAAGTGAACCAGTGAGCAAGGAGGCTGGGGTTGCCTAGCAACAGGTCCGCTCTCCTTTTCACTTGCTCTGAATACTTTGCAGCTTCTGTGCGTTTGAGTGTGTGAGAGTGTGCATGCACACATTAAATACAATACGGACATCATCTCTAACCTCTGAGCTAAAAAAAATAAAGGAACATCACAGGTTTTTAATGATTTGTTGTTGATATTAATTACCTATTAGTCATCCACATCAACCTTATTATCTCTCATGAAAAGAAGCAGAGATACAGTAGAGCATGACATCAACGATACAGTATTCATTTATTTATTTTTTTTTAAGTCTTGGCACTCAAATGGGGTCATTTTAGTCTCCGTGTGAAAATGCACACTCATCAAAATTTGCTCTCACTGTAAGACCAAACAGCAGCCCTGGAAAATGAAGCCATGGCATTAGTGCCTAAACCTGCAGTTCATCTTGTGGCCACTTGAGGCTGGCTCTAAAAGTAGGTCAATCTAAGTATGAGGGTCTAAGATCAACATGTTTACAACCTTGGCAACCAATTTCCTTATGGCCAAATATGGGTGATACCAGCAGGTCTACAGCCACCCTTTTGGAGCACTTCTTAGAAATAAGCCTGTGCTCGATTTTTATTTTATTTTACACCCTCAGATCAACAGTGATCGTGTTAATGCGAAGGAAGGCAAGCATTATGATAATCCTTCTGTCTCAACCAGAAACGGCTTACTTCTAAGCCTGCCTTTTATTGTGTGTGTGTGTGTTTTAAATGACAACCATTAGTAACTGTTATCCGTAGGAAATCCAACCTTGCTAAAAGCTGCTAAAATTTCATTAAAAACCCAAAATAGACTAGAAACAACTTTGAAATAGGAGGTTTCTGTCCCACTAATCATGATAATGTGTTGACTACAGGTCTGTCTGGTGGGACAATAAGAGGATTTACAACTCTGAATAATACTATGAACCAAACTGACCCAGAGGCCTTGGATCTGTGTGTGCATAATGTGCGCTTTGGTTTTCGGGATAATCTAAGATGAGCTGGCAGAAAGGAAAAAAATAACAAAAAACAACAAAACGATGACATAGGAGGAGAAATGTATACAATGCATGTTTGCGTTTAACAGACTTTGTGAATGTCGTCTGGGTGACTCGTTTGCGGAGGTGGGATTTCAGCTCAAAGAGCCAATTGTATGAAGATTAAATGTGGAGGTGAGGAGAGGGGAGGAGGTTGCTTTGACACCAACTCTAATTCAATAATGCCTTCGAGTGTGCTCTCACCTTGAGGTCTCTGTGTACTATACACTTCTGATGGCAATACTGCACAGCTGACACAATCTGGAGAGTGACAAAGTGAGCGAGAGAGAGGGAACGGGGAGAAGCAGGGGAGAGGAGGGATGACAGGATGGAGAGGTTCAAACAGTGAACTCTTCATTAGGAGTTCATCCAAAAAGCAATTTCGGGATAGAGCTAGTGATGCAAGACTTAGTACAAACTGTACACTCTTAATATCAGTCCAAACTGGCTTGAAACATACGACGCTTACAAAGTTGGACTAGTTTCTGTGAAAGGAGGGGAAAAAAGCCGTTTTCAACCCAACACACCTGTCTGAATTTGGCACGGGCTTCCTTCTCCTTCATCCTGCCATGAGCCACCAAGTAATCAAAGACCTCTCCTGGGAGACGACAGAAAGAGGAGGAGAGCAGATTTAGTGCTGGAACTGGATACCTGCCTCCAGAATAAAGGGTCAGGAGTACTGAACTGAACGTTGTCGTTTAGGAGTTTATTACTGATACTCTGTTTTATTACAGACTTGACTTATAATGATACAACAGCAGTACCAAAATAAATAAATAAAAATCTGGTCATCACGTTGACTCAATAACATAAATAGATTATTATAAAAACATTTACAGTGGCATTCATTTTCAGCAAATTTATCAATAATAAAGCTCTTTGCAAATGATCCTGCTTACAAAGGTCTTTATTTTTTTCCTTTGCTTATGGTCTATCACAGAATGACAACTTTTAGGGGGAATCATTTCACAGTGACACGACTTACCTCCACTAGCGTACTCCATTACCAGGTACAAAGTCTTCTCTGTTTCTATCACCTCAAAGAGCTTGACTGCAGGTGGAAAGAGAAAGGCAAAGCAAGAGGAATGGAGGAGGGAGTGATGGGGCAAGGGAATAAGAAGAGAACAAAGGGAGAAGCAGAGCAAAGAGCAAGAATGAAAGCAAAAAGGGGTAAAAAACCAAAAACAAATAGCAGGATTAATATTATCTGGCTACACGGCCTTAAAAACACTGGCTCCCAGCAAGTGACGACACACTTGAACCTCATGTTTCAGGGTGACTCACCTATGTTGGGATGATTCAACATCTTCATGATCCTCACCTCCCGGAAGAGCTGTGAGAAACGAGACAGACCGTCAAACACGGCATCAGACTGCAGAGGGAGTTGTTCTTGTTGTGACACTCATTTATACGGTCATTTCTCCAGTGTAAATGTCTATCACTTGATTATGTGCATTTGCTCCAAATGACAGGGAGTGAAAACAAACGCCAGTATTGTAATTTCTGTGTGATTACAAAGACTCCAGAGTCTCTGTTTGTGGTAGGTAAATTGACACTGACACACAACCACTCACTTCCTGTTCAAGAGGAGGAAGGAAAACAAAAACAGTTAGTGATGATATACCAACAGAGATCAAAGTAACTCAGCTACCAATCTAAAGTCTGGTGCAATTTAGATTGCATAATTGAACAAAAAATGAGTTAAAGGCCACTATTTAGCGTTTTCTAGACAAGCACTTCCTGCAGGTAGCATCTGAACATATCAGCTCAATAACTTTTCTGTTAAAGTCAGAACCGTAATCTTTCTAGATCAGACTCAATAACACTTCTGTCCGTTTCGGCACGGCCAAATTGATCGTTTTAACAGCTGCTGGTTCCAGATGTTTCTCAAAGTCTTTCATGTGAGTTTATTACATGCCTCCAGCATCGTGCAGCAGCAGTATCTATTCATAAGCTTCTCCAAAATGAGAGATTGTGTTCTCTACAGAGGCACAGTTTATAAGCTGTAATAACCTGCATTCCCATAAATGCATAAAGGGAGTATGGCCTTTTTAATAACCACAATAGCCAAATATCAAAATACAGACCCCAAATTTTAAAAGGTTCTGAGTTCATGTATTAGACTGTAGTGTTAAATCGTGCATGTAGTATAAAACATTGCATATTTCATATCAGGAAAGGGCGTAAAGATGCGCTGCTCCCTGCTCATTATATTTCTTCTGAGTCAGCAGATAAGGTCAAGCGAGGCCGACTGAGCACTTTATGGGCACATTAACTATTTATCCATATAAAAACTGTGCAAACCAGGAACTATTAAAGGTACCAACAGCCCTAAATGCACCACTAAAGCAGCATCTCAGTGTAAAATATTTATTGCTTTGTTACAAGTGTTACCTTCTTCAAAGACTGCTGTCCTTGAGCGTAATCTAAAAACGACATCAAAACATTAAAGCTGAGTTTATGCTTATGTTAACATGAAAGCGGCTACACTGTTGCAGCTATTGTGTGCTATGCAGCTAGAAAAAAAAAATACACAAAAATACAGCCTCTTAGTTTGGATTGCAATCCAAACTAACTTGTATTAACTGTTTGATAACCCAAATAAAACTGATAAATGAGCCACATTGCACTGGAGTGCAAACGTGTACTAATCCGCCACATTATATAGTCCACAGCAAACATATTTAAATCTTATGCTGAATGAAACTAAAACTGCTTGGCTTTTTTTTTTTTAGATTTAGAGACTTGAGACTTGAGACTGACGTATTCTTAGTTCGGCCTTTATATAAATCAATGTTTGAAAAAGAAAAAGAAAGAAAAAGACACTTCAAGATATGATAGCGTATTTTAACTAGCATTCCCTGCCAATTCCTGCTCTAACTTCCGTGTGACCTTTTCCCTTCGTCTTTACATTTCCTTATCATCTGTGCGTCGGCGTTTATAGAAGTACATACTCTATGTTATATATATGTCTGTGGAGTGGTTGGTGTGTGCGTTCAGTGTGCACGTATACATGGTTAGACAGTGTGTGCGTGTAAGTGGACAGACCCCACCCTGCCACGATCAAAGGAAGTAATTGCAGCTTGTTTCCTGTAATTAAAACTCTCTCCGAAAACTAGACCACTTCAGAAAGCCAGAGAGAGCGAGGGAGAACGAGAGAAAAAGACACTTGGGGCAGGGAGAGTGGCTTAAAATGACTTCTGAGAAAAGGGATGAGAAGGACTGAGGTTTAAATCCTTGTGTGTGTGTGGAGTGTGTGTGTGTGTGTGTGTGTGTGTGTGGGTGTGGTGTGGGTGTGTGTGTGTGTGTGTGTGTTGGTGCACATTTTCTTTTCTGTATGTGAGTGAGAGAGAAAGCGAGGTAACTCACCTTTTGCAAACTGGAGGAGTTGAGCTGTGTCTTATCTATGATCTTTACAGCCACCTAGAAGCAAGAATGTGCTCACTTGTCATTACACTTTGATTCATTTATTATGGCACATTTTGCTCACACAAACCCCCAAAAACACAGCCTGCAACAGCCACGCACAAACACAAATGTCCACACACTTCTCTCTTTTTGGGACACATCTCACACACACACACACGATACAATTTCCCAGCATTAAGTGATAAATACACAATCGCAGCAGGTGATAGTTGCATAATAGGATAGAAAATAGGAGAGAGGCACACACACTCTCAAGCTCAAGCATGCTTTTTATCCATGCCATTTTAAGGGCCTACAGCTCATAATCCAACAGCAGTCCCCAGCAAGGGAGACTGAAAAACAAAAAGCCATAAGGGCAAAGACAAATAATCAAAATAGCCGCAGAGGAAAAAAATATATATAAAGAGAGAAATGCACAGATGGGATGGATTCAAAGTGAGAGCTGTAGGAAAAAGAGGATGACGCAGAAAATGAGGAGAGAGGACATGAAGGCAGGGGGAACAAAGAATCGTGTCTTCAAAGGGACATGGGAAAGGGAGGGCTACTCCTCAGTCCAATTATTGTCTTTCCCTGTCAACTAACGTCTTTCTTTCACCGTTTCTGGTCGTGCTCGTCTATCTGACTCCTTCGTGCCCTCTGACTATCCCTTGTTTTCGTTTTGTGCGAGAGTGCGTGTGCGCCAGCCAGCAGGTCACATGGCATGTTATCAGGGTGTCAGGCACAGAGTTGTCACACATTGACAGAGCACGCCCACCCCACTCTCTCTCTCTCACATACACACTCACAAACATGCACACACACACACACACACACACAGTTGGAGAGCCGACTTGACTGGGCAACAGACAGAACCAAGCATGGGCTCACTGCAGTCCCAGCTTTTCCCTTAAAGGGACTGATCACCGGGTTACATCACATCTGGAATTCAAAGTAAACCGGAGACATTTAGGGCGTCTCTATTCAGGCTGACAATGGTGAACTAATCTCCTGCAGCAGATGCACTGTCTCCAAAGCCATGCAAGCCTCAGACCAAACTGTGTAGCACAGCATGAACCCTCCCCTACACTCAGCAACCAGGAAGACAGATTAACACTTAGCAGCCATTTTTCCTGCTTTTTACCATCTTTGCTAACTGGAAAGAAAAGGTTGAGGCTTCTTTTCTGTCAAAGTCTAATTACCAGGTATACTTGTATTGTCAATAAGTACACTATTATTACTATTACTGTTATTATTACTATTACTACTATTATTATTGTTATTATTATCACCACCAGCAGTGATCATCAGGTTTCATCATCACAACATGACAGCATGTCTCAGCAGTTTCCCTAGCATAGCCTGTTTGTTATTGAAACACTGACGAGCCCGTTTCTGGTTAAATAAAGAGTCAATACTAGAGCATTTCTCCTGAATGTGATCGAAGCAGCTAAAAATAAAAGCCAAGTTCACAAAGTCAGAACGACTCTGTAAGTGGAACCGCAGGATAAGATTAAAGCGTACAGTCCAATCTAGCCTGTGTGTGTGTGTGGGCGCGTGCGCTCATGCCTACCTCTTTTCCGGTGAGGACGTGTCGTGCCAGTTTGACCTTGGCAAAGTTGCCTTTGCCAATGGTTTTCAGTAACCGATAGTTACCGATGTGCGGCTGCTCGTCTGATGTGGTCGTGGCCACGGAGTTTCGACCTCGCGACGTACTGGAGCGGACAGATGATAACTTGGACTCCTGTGAAAGAGGGAGTACAGTGCAGTTTAACCATAAAGACAATGTAATGACTTGTAAGCAAAAGGCTAAAGAAATTTAACTAGGAAACATGACAGAGCACAAATTACAGGGCATTTAAAAGGTTTGTGATTCTCTGACTTTTTAGTGCCACTGACCAGCTCTATTTCCTTAAAACTGCAAGAACACAGAATCGGTGATTATAAAAATAAAAAATAAAAAAAATAAAAAAAGGACACGACTTTAAAGTAAAAGGCAATCTTCTGAATCTTCAAAGCATTTGGGTCAGTGATTATATAACAATTACCCAAGTGAAACATAATAAGCATCACACACAAACACACTGTTTTTTCTGTGAACTTTTGGAGGAAGACAGTAATAACGCATTTTTAAACCTAGAGATGTAATTGGAAACCGTCCTCATCCGACAGCTGTCACCATTATAGAGAAAACGCCACATCTGTTGCTTCAGATGTAAGAAAATCTGTAAATAGCTGGGAAGCAAATGCTGATTAAAAATAAAGCAAGAAATGGAAACTCCCCTTATTTCTCCTATTAAAACTTGTATAGGTTATCGGTTCTGCTGGTGGACTGCTCACATTACACCCTTTCTAACATTTAAGATTCAAATTCACAGTTTTCCCTGTAGTACCTACCACATTATGACAGTGCTTATTATTTAGGCATGTGTAGACGTCAGAGAACTGCTGAACTCTAAAACTAAGCTAACAGTCTGATAAACTGGTTCTCTTATGTACTGAGGATAGGCGCTACCACTGTGGGCTTAAGCCTCAATTATCCTCTGTTGTGGTCACAGGCAGCTGGAGACGTGACGGCCGAGTAGTCATTCCTGTTGCACTTCAGAGGTTTGCTTCAAGTCTGTTGCCTGAGGTGACGTTGGTGCGTTGTAAAGTCACAAAAAATTAGCAGGTACGCGGATATCCCCACAACGCAAACCTGTGCGCTCAGTTTCAAGTTTACGTCACTAGGAAAAGCAGACCCTTAGAGGTTGGTTATAATCTAGACATGCTGACCCTGTTTTTAAGCAACAAGTTTTTAGTTACCAAGTAGATTTTTTTTTTTCCTCAAAGCCAAATATTTTTCCCCAGTCTCAACATGTTTACATATTCTCAGCTTTTAACAATTTGGGGCCTTGTATCCAACTGGTGACAGGTCTGGACTGTAGGGCACCCAGACCATTACGCTAGCCATACATGTGGTATACATTTAGCATGCTATTAGGACCCGATGACGTATGCAAGGCCTTCCCCAAAAAAACCATGAACGTCAGCATGTGGCACTGAAATTTGTAAATACGGTTCAGCATAAACTGTGCCTTACAAGACGTATGAGATAGTTGTGGCTTTTGCACTTATCACACAATATCATCACAGAAAATGGCAATTCTCTGCTTTACCCCAGAGTCATTTTAATTGCATTTACTCATACCGAGTAGAAAACCAGGAAATAAATACTGATCCATTTAATAAAGATGTTCCAAGTGTTTCTGAGCCGATCCATCGAGTTCGAGTACAGAAACATCATTTTTTTAGTGCAGTCCCACATGAAGATCATCTAATATTAGGTTTTCGGATTTGTCTCTTGCATACTGAGATTTCACAAGCATGTTTACATATTACTAAAAGATTTAATGTAGCTGATGGACTTTATGAAACACTGTTTTTCAGCATATTTTCAGTGATTTAGGAAAAGTTTCTGAATTGTAACATTTGATATTTTGTGTAACTACTGTTTAACTCAGCTACTGGGCTTTTTTGGAAAAAAGCTTAGACATCATTTAAGTTCTTTGCACGACTCAGTCCAAGGTCAGTGTACACGTGTTAAGTCCTTTAACATGGTCGTACTGAGCCTTCGTTCATCTCAAAGCAGACAGTAAGTTGTTCGAATCAAACGCAAAACACCCCCCAACATTAAAAAAGAAAAAGAAAAACACAACCTTGCTGTGCTGGCAAGTTTTGTATGGCTGGCAACTGCGATTGGATTTCAGCTCCAGGAAAGGGTCACAGCAATTGTGTGTCTGTGTGTGTGATCTGAGCAGACAGGTGACGGGGATCAGGGTCAGAGGAGAGAACGACTGGCTCCAGGGTGACGAGTCTCAAACACACACACACACACACACACACACACACACACACACACACACACACAGCAGTGAGCAAGATTTAGTGCTGGAACTGGATACCTGCCTCCAGAATAAAGGGTCAGGAGTACTGATCTGAACGTTGTCGTTTAGGAGTTTATTACTGATACTCTGTTTTATTACAGACTTGACTTATAATGATACAACAGCAGTACCAAAATAAATAAATAAAAATCTGGTCATCACGTTGACTCAATAACATAAATAGATTATTATAAAAACATTTACAGTGGCATTCATTTTCAGCAAATTTATCAATAATAAAGCTCTTTGCAAATGATCCTGCTTACAAAGGTCTTTATTTTTTTCCTTTGCTTATGGTCTATCACAGAATGACAACTTTTAGGGGGAATCATTTCACAGTGACACGACTTACCTCCACTAGCGTACTCCATTACCAGGTACAAAGTCTTCTCTGTTTCTATCACCTCAAAGAGCTTGACTGCAGGTGGAAAGAGAAAGGCAAAGCAAGAGGAATGGAGGAGGGAGTGATGGGGCAAGGGAATAAGAAGAGAACAAAGGGAGAAGCAGAGCAAAGAGCAAGAATGAAAGTAAAAAGGGGTAAAAAACCAAAAACAAATAGCAGGATTAATATTATCTGGCTACACGGCCTTAAAAACACTAAAAAAAACACAAACAACTACACCAAAAAAAAAAAAAAAGAAAACTGGCTACACGGCCTTAAAAACACTGGCTCCCAGCAAGTGACGACACACTTGAACCTCATGTTTCAGGGTGACTCACCTATGTTGGGATGATTCAACATCTTCATGATCCTCACCTCCCGGAAGAGCTGTGAGAAACGAGACAGACCGTCAAACACGGCATCAGACTGCAGAGGGAGTTGTTCTTGTTGTGACACTCATTTATACGGTCATTTCTCCAGTGTAAATGTCTATCACTTGATTATGTGCATTTGCTCCAAATGACAGGGAGTGAAAACAAACGCCAGTATTGTAATTTCTGTGTGATTACAAAGACTCCAGAGTCTCTGTTTGTGGTAGGTAAATTGACACTGACACACAACCACTCACTTCCTGTTCAAGAGGAGGAAGGAAAACAAAAACAGTTAGTGATGATATACCAACAGAGATCAAAGTAACTCAGCTACCAATCTAAAGTCTGGTGCAATTTAGATTGCATAATTGAACAAAAAATGAGTTAAAGGCCACTATTTAGCGTTTTCTAGACAAGCACTTCCTGCAGGTAGCATCTGAACATATCAGCTCAATAACTTTTCTGTTAAAGTCAGAACCGTAATCTTTCTAGATCAGACTCAATAACACTTCTGTCCGTTTCGGCACGGCCAAATTGATCGTTTTAACAGCTGCTGGTTCCAGATGTTTCTCAAAGTCTTTCATGTGAGTTTATTACATGCCTCCAGCATCGTGCAGCAGCAGTATCTATTCATAAGCTTCTCCAAAATGAGAGATTGTGTTCTCTACAGAGGCACAGTTTATAAGCTGTAATAACCTGCATTCCCATAAATGCATAAAGGGAGTATGGCCTTTTTAATAACCACAATAGCCAAATATCAAAATACAGACCCCAAATTTTAAAAGGTTCTGAGTTCATGTATTAGACTGTAGTGTTAAATCGTGCATGTAGTATAAAACATTGCATATTTCATATCAGGAAAGGGCGTAAAGATGCGCTGCTCCCTGCTCATTATATTTCTTCTGAGTCAGCAGATAAGGTCAAGCGAGGCCGACTGAGCACTTTATGGGCACATTAACTATTTATCCATATAAAAACTGTGCAAACCAGGAACTATTAAAGGTACCAACAGCCCTAAATGCACCACTAAAGCAGCATCTCAGTGTAAAATATTTATTGCTTTGTTACAAGTGTTACCTTCTTCAAAGACTGCTGTCCTTGAGCGTAATCTAAAAACGACATCAAAACATTAAAGCTGAGTTTATGCTTATGTTAACATGAAAGCGGCTACACTGTTGCAGCTATTGTGTGCTATGCAGCTAGAAAAAAAAATACACAAAAATACAGCCTCTTAGTTTGGATTGCAATCCAAACTAACTTGTATTAACTGTTTGATAACCCAAATAAAACTGATAAATGAGCCACATTGCACTGGAGTGCAAACGTGTACTAATCCGCCACATTATATAGTCCACAGCAAACATATTTAAATCTTATGCTGAATGAAACTAAAACTGCTTGGCTTTTTTTTTTTTAGATTTAGAGACTTCAGAGCTGACGTATTCTTAGTTCGGCCTTTATATAAATCAATGTTTAAAAAAGAAAAAGAAAGAAAAAGACACTTCAAGATATGATGGCGTATTTTAACTAGCATTCTCTGCCAATTCCTGTTCTAACTTCCGTGTGACCTTTTCCCTTCGTCTTTACATTTCCTTATCATCTGTGCGTCGGCGTTTATAGAAGTACATACTCTATGTTATATATATGTCTGTGGAGTGGTTGGTGTGTGCGTTCAGTGTGCACGTATACATGGTTAGACAGTGTGTGCGTGTAAGTGGACAGACCCCACCCTGCCACGATCAAAGGAAGTAATTGCAGCTTGTTTCCTGTAATTAAAACTCTCTCCGAAAACTAGACCACTTCAGAAAGCCAGAGAGAGCGAGGGAGAACGAGAGAAAAAGACACTTGGGGCAGGGAGAGTGGCTTAAAATGACTTCTGAGAAAAGGGATGAGAAGGACTGAGGTTTAAATCCTTGTGTGTGTGTGGAGTGTGTGTGTGTGTGTGTGTGTGTGTGTGGGTGTGGTGTGGGTGTGTGTGTGTGTGTGTGTGTTGGTGCACATTTTCTTTTCTGTATGTGAGTGAGAGAGAAAGAAAGCAAGTTAACTCACCTTTTGCAAACTGGAGGAGTTGAGCTGTGTCTTATCTATGATCTTTACAGCCACCTAGAAGCAGTAAGCAAGAATGTGCTCACTTGTCATTACACTTTGATTCATTTATTATGGCACATTTTGCTCACACAAACCCACAAAACCACAGCCTGCGACAGCCACGCACAAACACAAATGTCCACACACTTCTCTCTTTTTGGGACACATCTCACACACACACACACACGATACAATTTCACAGCATTAAGTGATAAATACACAATCGCAGCAGGTGATAGTTGCATAATAGGATAGAAAATAGGAGAGAGGCACACACACTCAAGCTCAAGCATGCTTTTTATCCATGCCATTTTAAGGGCCTACAGCTCATAATCCAACAGCAGTCCCCAGCAAGGGAGACTGAAAAACAAAAAGCCATAAGGGCAAAGACAAATAATCAAAATAGCCGCAGAGGAAAAAAATATATATAAAGAGAGAAATGCACAGATGGGATGGATTCAAAGTGAGAGCTGTAGGAAAAAGAGGATGACGCAGAAAATGAGGAGAGAGGACATGAAGGCAGGGGGAACAAAGAATCGTGTCTTCAAAGGGACATGGGAAAGGGAGGGCTACTCCTCAGTCCAATTATTGTCTTTCCCTGTCAACTAACGTCTTTCTTTCACCGTTTCTGGTCGTGCTCGTCTATCTGACTCCTTCGTGCCCTCTGACTATCCCTTGTTTTCGTTTTGTGCGAGAGTGCGTGTGCGCCAGCCAGCAGGTCACATGGCATGTTATCAGGGTGTCAGGCACAGAGTTGTCACACATTGACAGAGCACGCCCACCCCACTCTCTCTCTCTCACACACACACACACACACACACACAAACACACACACACACACACACATACACACAGTTGGAGAGCCGACTTGACTGGGCAACAGACAGAACCAAGCATGGGCTCACTGCAGTCCCAGCTTTTCCCTTAAAGGGACTGATCACCGGGTTACATCACATCTGGAATTCAAAGTAAACCGGAGACATTTAGGGCGTCTCTATTCAGGCTGACAATGGTGAACTAATCTCCTGCAGCAGATGCACTGTCTCCAAAGCCATGCAAGCCTCAGACCAAACTGTGTAGCACAGCATGAACCCTCCCCTACACTCAGCAACCAGGAAGACAGATTAACACTTAGCAGCCATTTTTCCTGCTTTTTACCATCTTTGCTAACTGGAAAGAAAAGGTTGAGGCTTCTTTTCTGTCAAAGTCTAATTACCAGGTATACTTGTACTGTCAATAAGTACACTATTATTACTATTACTGTTATTATTACTATTACTACTATTATTATTGTTATTATTATCACCACCAGCAGTGATCATCAGGTTTCATCATCACAACATGACAGCATGTCTCAGCAGTTTCCCTAGCATAGCCTGTTTGTTATTGAAACACTGACGAGCCTGTTTCTGGTTAAATAAAGAGTCAATACTAGAGCATTTCTCCTGAATGTGATCGAAGCAGCTAAAAATAAAAGCCAAGTTCACAAAGTCAGAACGACTCTGTAAGTGGAACCGCAGGATAAGATTAAAGCGTACAGTCCAATCTAGCCTGTGTGTGTGTGGGCGCGTGCACTCATGCCTACCTCTTTTCCGGTGAGGACGTGTCGTGCCAGTTTGACCTTGGCAAAGTTGCCTTTGCCAATGGTTTTCAGTAACCGATAGTTACCGATGTGCGGCTGCTCGTCTGATGTGGTCGTGGCCACGGAGTTTCGACCTCGCGACGTACTGGAGCGGACAGATGATAACTTGGACTCCTGTGAAAGAGGGAGTACAGTGCAGTTTAACCATAAAGACAATGTAATGACTTGTAAGCAAAAGGCTAAAGAAATTTAACTAGGAAACATGACAGAGCACAAATTACAGGGCATTTAAAAGGTTTGTGATTCTCTGACTTTTTAGTGCCACTGACCAGCTTGATTTCCTTAAAACTGCAAGAACACAGAATCAGTGATTATAAAAAAAAATTTAAAAAAAAGGACACGACTTTAAAGCATTTGGGTCAGTGATTATATAACAATTACCCAAGTGAAACAAAATAAGCATCACACACAAACACATTGTTTTTTCTGTGAACTTTTGGAGGAAGACAGTAATAACGCATTTTTAAACCTAGAGATGTAATTGGAAACCGTCCTCATCCGACAGCTGTCACCATTATAGAGAAAACGCCACATCTGTTGCTTCAGATGTAAGAAAATCTGTAAATAGCTGGGAAGCAAATGCTGATTAAAAATACAGCAAGAAATGGAAACTCCCCTTTTTTCTCCATTAAAACTTGTATAGGTTACCGGTTCTGCTGGTGGACTGCTCACATTACACCCTTTCTAACATTTAAGATTCAAATTCACAGTTTTCCCTGTAGTACCTACCACATTATGACAGTGCTTATTATTTAGGCATGTGTAGACGTCAGAGAACTGCTGAACTCTAAAACTAAGCTAACAGTCTGATAAACTGGTTCTCTTATGTACTGAGGATAGGCGCTACCACTGTGGGCTTAAGCCTCAATTATCCTCTGTTGTGGTCACAGGCAGCTGGAGACGTGACGGCCGAGTAGTCACTCCTGTTGCACTTCAGAGGTTTGCTTCAAGTCTGTTGCCTGAGGTGACGTTGGTGCGTTGTAAAGTTACAAAAAATTAGCAGGTACGCGGATATCCCCACAACACAAACCTGTGCGCTCAGTCTCAAGTTTACGTCACTAGGAAAAGCAGACCCTTAGAGGTTGGTTATAATCTAGACATGCTGACCCTGTTTTTAAGCAACAAGTTTTTAGTTACCAAGTAGATTTTTTTTCCTCAAAGCCAAATATTTTTCCCCAGTCTCAACATGTTTACATATTCTCAGCTTTTAACAATTTGGGGCCTTGTGTCCAACTGGTGACAGGTCTGGACTGTAGGGCACCCAGACCATTACGCTAGCCATACATGTGGTATACATTTAGCATGCTATTAGGACCCGATGACGTATGCAAGGCCTTCCCCAAAAAACCATGAACGTCAGCATGTGGCACTGAAATTTGTAAATATGGTTCAGCATAAACTGTGCCTTACAAGACGTATGAGATAGTTGTGGCTTTTGCACTTATCACACAATATCATCACAGAAAATGGCAATTCTCTGCTTTACCCCAGAGTCATTTTAATTGCATTTACTCATACCGAGTAGAAAACCAGGAAATAAATACTGATCCATTTAATAAAGATGTTCCAAGTGTTTCTGAGCCGATCCATCGAGTTCGAGTACAGAAACATCATTTTTTAGTGCAGTCTAGGGCTGCCACGATTGTCGACTAGTCACGATTACGTCGACTATCAAAATCGTCGACGACTGATTTAATAGTCGACGTCGTTTGAAGCTTTGTAAGATCGCAAAAGACGCAGGAATAAGTAGCAGGATTTAAGAGTGTAATAACGGACTGAAACAGAAGATGGCAGCACTGCATGTACAAGGATGCCAGCTGCCGTTAAACCCCGAAGAAGAAGAAGCTGTGTCCCAGAATTCATAGCGCAGGCCCAGCTCAGTTTCCAACAATGGCGGCAGCTAGTTAGTTTTAATATTACTCTTATTATTCTTTCTGGGTCACAAAATAAACGTTTAACATATTTTCAGGCGAGAATGTAGCTGTGTAAACCTCAAATATCTGCTCAGTTTATCAAGACACCACATATTTTCAAAAGCGCTCCGACGTTTTCGGAGACGTCTGTTACCCACTAGCTCGATAGCTAGCCGGGGGCTAGGCTCAACTAGAGCCGTGAGAACACCGGACTCCCGGCAAATCGTTTTCAAACCCACCGCCGTCTTTCGCTACTCAGGTTAAACATATATATGAGTCACTTAGATAACTTAAAATGTTATTGTTTGGCTTTTTTTTTAGTATTTTATTTGTTCCTGAGTAAATCGGTTTGGCTGAGATTAAATAAGTTTTTACACAGCTGAATAAACGTCAAGCAGACAGCTGATTATCAGAAGTGTGAGATGCTGGAGAATTTACTCCGGTGTCCTGTTATATTTTAGATAGCAAGGAGTTTATTAAACTTCACCGAAACAATCTGCAAATTTCATTAAAATTTAATAAACTATCATCTTGTCTTTATTTTTAGTTAGCACATACTTAAACACTTAAAGCTGTAAGCTAATGATAGTTATATAAGAGCAGATGCTGCTGGTGCAATAAGCTGTATTACGTCCAATGGATGATGATCTGATTAGTCGACTAATCGCAAAAATAATCGGTGACTAGTCGACTATCAAAATAATCGTTTGTGGCAGCCCTAGTGCAGCCACATGAGACTAATATTAGGTTTTCGGATTTGTCTCTTGCATACTGAGATTTCACAAGCATGTTTACATATTACTAAAAGATTTAATGTAGCTGATGGACTTTATGAAACACTGTTTTTCAGCATATTTTCAGTGATTTAGGAAAAGTTTCTGAATTGTAACATTTGATATTTTGTGTAACTACTGTTTAACTCAGCTACTGGGCTTTTTTGGAAAAAAGCTTAGACATCATTTAAGTTCTTTGCACGACTCAGTCCAAGGTCAGTGTACACGTGTTAAGTCCTTTAACATGGTCGTACTGAGCCTTCGTTCATCTCAAAGCAGACAGTAAGTTGTTCGAATCAAACGCAAAACACCCCCCAACATTAAAAAAGAAAAAAAAACACAACCTTGCTGTGCTGGCAAGTTTTGTATGGCTGGCAACTGCGATTGGATTTCAGCTCCAGGAAAGGGTCACAGCAATTGTGTGTCTGTGTGTGTGATCTGAGCAGACAGGTGACGGGGATCAGGGTCAGAGGAGAGAACGACTGGCTCCAGGGTGACGAGTCTCAAAACACACACACACACACACACACACACACACACACACACACACACACACACACACAACACACACACACACACACACACACACACACACACACACACACACACAACACAACACACATACACACAAAGGTGAGGGTGTGAGTTGCACACATCTCACAGAGATTTGATACCAACAGAAGAAAGCGTCAGGTGAAATTCACACTGG